CACCTGGTGCTAGCTAGGCTCATACTACACACCTGGTGCTAGCTAGGCTCATACTACACACCTGGTGCTAGCTAGGTTCATACTACACACCTGGTGCTAGCTAAGCTTATATTGCACACCTGGTGCTTACAAAGCTCATACTACACACCTGGTGCTAGCTAGGCTCATACTACACACCTGGTGCTAATTATAGTAATTGTAGTGCACACACTTAATGTTATTTATGCACGTAGATCAGCATCTACGTTGTGTGGGAACCTAAGTTTATTTAAACATGAGAGCGGAGACGACTTTAATTTTCAACTGAGATTGGAGACAACGTTATTGTAACATGACATGGGCGACTACTGTTATTGTAACTTGATATGGGAGGCTACTTCTATTGTAACATGAGATAAGAAACATTTTAGTAAAACAAATATCTTAACATTTAAAATGAATATTGTCATCTCTGAACACAAAAAATTACCATAATCAACATCATTACATTTTATTTAGTACCTGCTGCGTGATATACATTTCAATGTCAAATATAATTTGCTGCGAATGAATTTGTAGTGTAAATCGCTTCTTGTGTTAACGGTGGTATTCTATAGTGATGATTGTACTCAATTATAATAGGCTGTTGCTCGTATTTTTTAAACTCCACTAATTTCAAGTAAAATTATACCACAATAAAACAGGATTTTTTTCCCTACACATTGATACCAATTTTGTGTCTCTAGCTTAATTAGGAGCTAAGATATGGCCTTTTAAAAATTTGTGGGCGTGGCTAAAACAGCTTAGACCTTCGTCATTCAAGTCAATGTTACATAAACAAAAAAGTTGGCACCGATGGTTTTTTCATTGCATCATCACGGATTCGCATTTTTCGAAAAATTAAAAAATTATAATTTTATTGCATCATCCGGGATTCGCATTTTTTTTAAAACTAAAAAATTATAATCAAGCTTACAGTCTAAGTTATACTGGACTGGATGTGATTTGAATGAGTAATTTAATGCCATTCATATATTATTATGGACTTATTACTCCGTGTAAAAAAAAAAATGTAGATCTAGGTTTAAAATAAACTAGATCTAGTTATTGTAAATCGATTTATTAATATTTAATACTGTTACTACTATTATTATATAATAGAAATGCATAAGCACATATTACTGCACAAGTTCTTTATATCTAATTGTAATGAACGATATTACTTGGGTAGATGAAGTAGAGTAGACCTACACACACATACACTACATGATAAATGGAAGTAGCAACTGGTTGCCTTTACGTTACTTTCTCAGCCCCCCCCCCCCCCCCCCCCCACTTACTTGATATTCAGTGTCTATATCAGGAGGCCATAATAAAATTATAGAACAAAATAAAAGAAAACAGCTGTCAAAGTGTGTACCAGTGTTTATTACTACTAAACTATGCAATGTAAATTATTAGAATGTGAGAAACACAGTATTAAAATACAGTAATCAGATTACCACATGAATTTTAATTTTGTCTAATAAAATAGAAACATTTAGGAGAATGGCAAAGTAAAAAAAAGATTTTTTTTGCAATAATTTAAAAATATGTTTATCAGAGCAAAGAAATAAACTACATAGTGACAACCTAAATTTAGCCCTTGTATAATCTACGACCATCACAGTACTGTAAAACAGTTACATAATCATAATTAGTGTGAAGAAACAAATCTACAGTACAAGAAATCAACCTCGTCTCATTACGATCTTTCTTAAGAAGAAAAGTAGTATAGTATTAATTATCCAGGAATAAACATTAAAATATTGGTTTAAAGTATAATTACTAGTAAATCTAACCAGTCATTGAATGTATGCTGGAAAAAAAAAAGGTGACGAAAAATTTCTTGGACCACTTTTAGTCTCTTAAGTGTTAAAACAATTTTCTAAAGTATCAATTATAATTAATCTTTAGATACAATTAGCACATCTGAGGAAAAAATATATATTTTAAAAAGCGTTAGTACTTGTGTGATAAATTAGTTTGGACCAACATTTTTGAAGCACATTAACTACTGATTCTAGGATTATCTAGCTGATGTCAATTACCCTGAAAAATTAGTTAAGTAATTAATTAAAATGTGATTTTTTTTACACTATGAAAACTAAACTTAATTATAAACATTGTTAGTATTAGTTTTCAAAATAAGTTTACAATTCAGAGCAATCATTTTTTCAGTAACAATTTACAAAAACACTAATGTTTAAAAAATAAAGTTCATTTGTATACTAAAAATGAAAGAAGTACTCTGAAATTCTGATAAGCTATTATTCAGAAAGAAAAACAAGATTCCTACAAAGTCAACAACCAGTGATTCTGCCCGATGACTGAAATCCTCAGCATTATCCTCATCCTCTGCCCAGTAGCTTATGGTGTAAAGAGCTGACTTTTGTTTTGTTGCTGGCACCCTTTTGATAGTCCTTCCACTGTATTGCGACACTCCCTGATCACCTTGCTTCCACTTATGAGTCAGCTGGACACCAATCAGATTTCCCGTCAGATACCTCTCCAGCTGTCGCACCAAGAAAGGCTCAGTAGAAGTCAACTGTCAACAACGCTTCCATGACTTTAAGAAACAGAGTAGATCTACATTTGATTGCCACATTGCATTCTTGTAAATGATCTTTATCAAAGGGCCAGAAATTAACTTCTTAATCAGCCTGAGTGCTTGCGGTGCTGCACGAGAACCCCAGGCTTCTTGAGATCTGCAAGCAGTTGAATGTAGATTTTAGTTATGTCCCAGCAGCCACATCATTCTCTTTAAGATGAGCCTTGAATAAAGCTGGATCTCCATGGAAACTGTACCTTAAAAGAGAAGGGCAAATGGAATTAGAATTTAGGAGACCATTTCACAAAATATATACCAAGCACAACATATTGCAAAGTATATAAAATAAATATAAAAATTTGAAATAAATTCAGTCTCCATACTTACTGAATGTACTTCCACCTGAGACATTTGTTGAACATAGAAAGGGCTGTACACAAGTTCCACCAACCTATTCCACTCACAAGCCTCTGTTCTCCTCAGCCGCTTTATCTCAGCCATCAAGTTTCTGATTACATTAGCGATCCCCTTTATACCAAGTTGTAGGCACACAAGTCTAGAATTAAATTAATATTAATAAAATTATCAAGTACTAAAATTGTCCTTAATAAGGAGGTCTAAGGGCATAGGGCTTTATAAAATTATATTATTGTATAGGACTAGTTATAGATATATAGATCTACAATACATAGGCTTATATTAATTTAAATATATTTATAGGCCTACTTGATGGAGAATTATACCTGAACTAGTCTAAATCTATTCTTAACCATTTAACAATGTTTCACTATGTGACTATTTTTACAAGATCTAGATCTAGACTAGTACTTGTATGAAATAGAATAGTTTCGGCAAAAATAAAAAAAACATTACTGTAGGCCTAACTGAAAACGTGTAAAAATATAACTAAAAAATTAATGTAGAGTCCTAATCAAACATAATGATTAAATGATTGTGTTCATCTAAATGTACTGAATTAAAATAAATAGGCTAATTACTGAAATGGTATAGGCCTAGGACAGGACTACTTAATACTTAATGCAGAATTAGATGAACACTTAGGCCTATACCTAATTAATTTAACTTATCTAGATTCTAGATCTAGAATCTATATCTAAATGAACTAGCACCTATTTCTTACTAGGTCTAGATGTAGAATCTAGATCAGTGTTGGCCCTATTAGATTCAATTAGATCTAGATCTAGAATTAAACTAGAGTCCAGAACTAGCTAGGCCTAAAGCTAGATTCAGTAGATTATTTTTTACTAGATCTATCTAGACTCTAGTAGTATATAGTCTGATCTAGATCTAGTTACTATAGAATAGATCAATAGAGCTAGATCTAGTAATCGGGATTTGTTTTTCTAAATCCAAAATCTATTAGGCTATCTTAATATCATCTAGATATAGATCTAGATCTAGATCTAGATCTAGGCCTATTTACTGAGTCTAGTTCTATCAAAATTTAAGTTAAGTCTACTTGTGTAAAAATCTAAAAATTAAATTAATGTAGAGTCTAGACCTAATTGTCCTAAGTAATCAACCGTAATAACTTAGTAAATGTAGGCTACTTAATCTAAATTATTAATATTTGGCCTAGTAATAGTAATATATCATAGATATCGGAGAGCCGTTATCAAGTAATGCGATATTTTAATAATGTAAGAATCACAGGAAATTTGGCGCGAAATTAAGGCTCTCTCGCGGACAGCCTTCCTAGGCTTGCGGACCATTGAAATCGTAATTTTAAAATATAGGTTAATTTTACAAGACCCAATTATTATTCTCATCAACATTTAGGCATCTCTTTCTAAATATTAAGTACTTTATTATTTAAAGACTCTTACCTTATATTTCAGCACATTGCTCCTCTGTAAGATAATAAACGAGATCCAAAAATTAAAATAGGCTTGGAATCTAAATCCTCTTGAGGTTAAAACAAAGATGCGCACGGCGACATGCGTAGATCAGGTGTGCTGTGGTAGCGCCTTAAGCGACACGGCCTTAATTACCAATGGTCAACCGGAAACATGGAATTTAGGTTCAAGGTACAGCCATGATTACCATGGCAACAAAGGTCACGGCGCAAGCTGCGCAACTCGCTAATTATAAACACTTTTCTTACCGCGAGGTGGGAGTGGGGTGGGCTTTAATAATATAATCAAGCCTAAGATTGACCACCTGCAGTAAACACTAATTAGTGGACGCATTAATGCAGAGATTAGTCATGTTGTTGTCAAAGTGATAATCCGCCCCACCCCCATATGTTCCAGCCCTCGATAGAACCTCACCTTTTAATATACAGCTCATCTAACACGGGGGGGGGGGGTAACTAAAAGACTTGAAGCATGGGGGAAATCTATTTTGGAAGACTTTGTAACCTTTGTATAGCTAGTGTAGTAGGTCTAGGAGCTAGAGCTACCAGTTGAGGTTAAATGATTCTGGAACTTCCTGTTTTTCTTACCTGAAATTTCCGAGAGTCATAGGCGATGAAAAAGGGTGGGTTTTGTACTGACAGACCCCAGGCCAGCCTGACGGTCATTTTTGTGAACTCGTCCAGCCCCACACAAGTCCTCAGGCCGGGGTAGTCGTACAGTGTGGCATGTATGTTCTGCGAGACTTCCTGGCCAGATAAAAAATGTGACATTATTTACTCGTACTAGACGGGTTTGTTGTGAGCAAGAGTTCGCGACAACTAGATCTAACTCTGATCATGGGCTACGTTTGTAGGATGACCATCTAGCTCAGTTAGGTACCTGACTATAGACTTTAGTCGATAACTAAAGACAGCAAGACGCAATGCTGACCACTAAGTTTAGATCAGATAAGCAGATGAACTCTACTTCATGTACCCCGTGAAAAATCTCTTTTAAAAAGGGTGGCTCATTATTTACAAGAAAGTAGGACATTCCTTGTTTTAAAATAGATGAAATAATGACAACAATAATGTTTCATTAATGAACATCGGGTGTGTACCTAAATAAACTTCGATACCAAAGTAGGCTGTCTGGTATCTGGGCGGTCATTAACAAAGGGAGGTAACGTAAATTATCTCGTCATTAACCCGTAGTTAACCGTGAGTGTCATATTCTGTAGTTCTATCAATTGTTTATGATGATCTATAGTTTCTGACGTAGCTAGTCATACAAAGGGCAAGCACTCGTAGCAACACAAATAACTAAGCGGAAATACTCCTCCAGCTGACGTCATGTGGTCCCTGGTTCACCACTCATAAAATCGGACAGAAAAATGGTTATTTATAGAATTTATAGTATTCGTACTTAGAAAAACACCGGCCCGAAATATCTCTCCACTTAAGTACTATGTAAACTTCCATGTAAGTGCTGACACTCTTGTAGATTTATACTTACATGTATGATTGGGGCCATCTCGAAGCGTTCGATAGATCGAATTAAATAGTTATTGATGTGCTGTTCCATTTCTGAAGAGACGTTGTCGGCAGGGCCCGCGGTAGGTAGGCATAAAAGATGGCGTAGTTTTAGTTTTAGTTGGTGGAGGGTCTGTTGTACACAGCGAAATGACAGCTGGAATGTAGGGATGACATGTTTATGACATGGAAAAAAATGACATCGGGAATGATGAAATTTAAGGGGATGACATGGTATATTGGAAGAATGGAATGACATATGGACTGATGAAATTATATATGTTTGGATGGTAATTCATTTGTCAGCGTGAAGTAAGCGCATCATAAGCTTTGTATGTTTAACAGATGGTGATCGGAAAAAAGCGCAACGGAAAACTGCGAAAAAAAATGTGCGCATATATAGATATTAACAAAGAATGACAACATGTACGTTTTAACATAATAAAATACTTCACCACAAAATATGACAAAATTAAACTGTATTGCTATAATTAGCTTGTTATTAAATAAATTAAATATATAAATATTTGCGCAGTTTTTCGTTGCGTAGTATGCGCATTTCTCTGGAGAATCGTTAAAAATTAGTAACAATATCATGAAGGTATTAAAACCCTGACTTAGCAATATCATGAAAGTTTTGAACCCTGGCTTGACAATATCATATAGTATTGAAACCATGACGTATTTTAGCTACATGTCAAATACTTACCACAACAACTGAGAATAATATTTTCATCTTAAGAATGTCAAGACCGCGCAATTCCGGAAGTTCATCTAGGGCGTCTAGGGTGTCCACCCTCCCCTCCCTGTAGAGGTCATCGTAGGCCCTGATGAGGCTGGTGGGCCGGTGGGACCCCATGTTGACGTTCTCAAACACGTGACTCGGCTTGGTCGTGAACTGGTTGTGAACCTGTTCGGCTAGCCTAGAAAATGATAAAGTTTCATCAGGACCTGTTCGGCTAGTCTAGAAAATGATAAAGTTTCATCAGGACCTGTTCAGCTAGTCTAGAAAATGATAAAGTTTCATCAGGACCTGTTCAGCTAGTCTAGAAAATATAAAAGTTTTATCAGAACCTGTTCGGCTAGCCTAGAAAATGTCAAAGTTTCATCAGGACCTGTTCGGCTAGTCTAGAAAATGATAAAGTTTCATCAGGACCTGTTCGGCTAGTCTAGAAAATGTAAAAGTTTCACCAGGACCTGTTCGGCTAGTTTAGAAAACAGAAAAGTTTCATCAGGATCTGCGTGGCTAGTTTAGAAAATAGAAAAGTTTCATCAGGACCTGCGTGGTTAGTTTAGAAAATAGAAAAGTTTCATCAGGAACTGTTCAGCTAGTCTAGAAAATAGAAAAGTTTCATCAGGATCTGCGTGGCTAGTTTAGAAAATAGAAAAGTTTCATCAGGACCTGCGTGGCTAGTTTAGAAAATAGAAAAGTTTTATCAGGAACTGTTCAGCTAGTCTAGAAAATAGAAAAGTTTCATCAGGACCTGTTCAGCTAGTCAAGAAAATAGAAAAGTTTCATCAGAACCTGCGTGGCTAGTCTAGAAAATAGAAAAGTTTCATCAGAACCTGTTCAGCTAGTCTAGAGAATAGAAAAGTTTCATCAGGACCCGCTCTGCTAGTCTAGAAAATAGAAAAGTTTTATCAGAACCTGTTCGGCTAGTCTAGAAAATAGAAAAGTTTCATCAGAACCTGTTCGGCTAGTCTAGAAAATAGAAATATTTCATCAGGACGTGCTCGGCTATTTACAAAGAAAGGATTTTCAAAATCAGAACTAATTACAGCGACTTATCTTTGCTGGGGAGAAGTTGTAGGCCTACTCATTAGCAACATAATAAAATCGGTTACATTGTATTAAATATGCTAGTGAACGATGAGTCACTGATGACTGCACTCAGGGTATAAAATATACACAAGTGGAGTCACGTAAGGTGACTGGAGACACTACTGGACACTACTGAGTGTCTTTATATTGTCTAATAGCTACACTGTCTAATGGGACAAGCAGTACAGCGACAGGCTGCTAACCCAAAAGTCTCGAGTTCGAATCCGGGTTCAGTAGAGCGTCCACCCAGCTCTAATGGGTACCTTACTTACGTTAGGGAAAGTAAAGACGGCTGGGCATAGTGCTGACCACATTATCCCTTCATATGCCTAGGTCACAGAAACAGGTGGACTCTAAAATTCAATTGCCCCATTGACCGTCAGGTTCGAAAAGGGATCTTTACTTTTACACTGTCTATTTAGATGTAACATAAACAGACAATACGAAATGCGTGACAAAGTAGTCCTGCTGGGAGAGGGCAAAGGTCAAGGACGGTCATCCATCTTTACCTCTGCCTCAGCTGTTTCTCCTGCTCCTCTAGCTGAGCGATCTTCTGACGAGAGGCTGCTAACTCTTCCTTTAGGAACCGTACTTCCTCTTCTAAATTCGCGCCACCTTCTGGACTTGCAGTGCTGCCATTTGTAAATGTATTGGGCCCCTCAGTGTTGGTTTCCATCCTGCCCGGTGGGTGATTATTGGAGGACTTACGGTGGTTCGCGTGGCGCTGTCCCGATGCTCCGAGTCTTTCTATATCTGAGGAATTAAACAAGTAGGATAAAAACTTCAACGCTAGTTTACGGAAAAAATAAACATTTCTTACATAGAGCAAGTTTAAATAAATAAAACTGTGTACGCTATGCTCTGAAATGACTTATAGAAGGATTTCTTTTGTTTTAAAAAATGACTGCACGCTTGTTTACAACTGTTGCGCAGCATGACTGCGCATATTTAAATGAACACTAAGACAAATGGTTTATAAACGGACGATAATTTTTTTCGTATAGATTTCGCCAAACGAGAAATCCTCAAAAGTCTTATTAGTCTCGTTAAAAACATAAAGAAATAAACATGTGAAAGTCGTCTTGAAGTGAGGGTGTAATGGACATCAGCAGCTTAGGATTAACGGGGAGTTAGGTTTAGGACAAGCCTGGTAGGACTTGAGAATTGTGACTTACAGTTTATGTCAAATTAGTATCAATCTTTACAGAAAATACGCAACGGAACATTCTTCCTTTTAACCACGTTTTTTTTACTTAATGTAATTCATAGTTGAATCCTCCCCCTCCCCCCTACCCACCCCGTCACAGATAAAACTAGATAGGCAAAGATCCGCAAGACAACGTCAGATGCTTAAAACAAAACTTAATCTTGCATAGACGCTTTAAGTGCATCTACGCAAAACTCAATATTCACTTCCTTATTTATATTTTTGAGTTAACATAGCTTTACAAAAAATGCATACATTTGCGTCACGCGTCAGTAAGTAGATGTGGAGTCACAGCGAGTCATTTGTCTTGCTGTTTTGGAATGTAAAGAATTTTTTTAACACCAAAAAACTCGAAGGGTGTTCACTCGACACCACAAAAAGTCATACAGTGTGACCTACTTCTTGTGTTGACATCTTTCATCTTCTTCAGGTCGCCACTTTAGAAACGTTTGTGACAGAGTGAATGAAAACAAAACTTAACACATACTGACTAAACGGGGAGGGGGGGGGGGGTGGGGTTCGTATGTTTTGTTGAGCAACGATCATCTTTTGCTTGTTCTCTTACCGTCATTTACAAAAAAAAAAAAAAAAAAAGCGTTTGTATTTTATGTTTTTTTTAGCAAACGCTGACATTAAGAGACAGACGTAGTAGGTTTTTTTTTTTTTGCCTAGAAAAAAAAATTCCATCTTTCCAGTTACACCTGTAACGCCACAGGCTGGAATGTTTACATTCACAAACCTGCCTCTACCCTCCCCGCCCCCTCCTTACCAGGTGAGTTCCAGGCCGAGCTTAGAGTTGCGGAACTTAGTCACAGAGGAATCTGTACATCTGACAAGGATGGGGGAGGGGGAGTTTTTTAATTAGCTGACCTAGAGTTTAGCTCATGCACCAGCTGGTCTTGAAAGTAATAGTACTCGTAGATTAACAACAGCCACATAATCGTTCTGCTGGTATCGTTGTTAACGATACTTCAATTTCAATTTCCACCAAAACTTAAATGACATCCGTCATGAGTTTATTAAAGTATCTTAATGGGTAATTCCCGTTTTAATAATAGATGGGTTCGGTTAATTAATAAGAATTAAGATAATACATATACAAAATTATCAGCATAATATAACTAATTAAATTAACTAATTTATTAGTTAATAAAATTATAAATTTGCAAAGTAATTTAAAATGTTTTAAATAAAATATTAGATTTAAAACGTGATTTTTGTAATTAGTTAAAGAAAAAAAGTTATTTAAAAGGAAGGAAGTAAAAGGTAAGGACGTCAAACGTAGACCCATGTAACAGCGTGCAAGCATGGACTGGGGTGTAATGTAGTTGTCTAATAGAAAAAGTAGTGGCCTTACTTACGTCTGCTCCAAACGATATGACTGGTAGTCGCAGGGACCGGGCCGCCATTTCTTCTCAAATCACGTGACTTGTGAGACGAGTCGTCTGTCCAGTTAATTAGCTGACCACGCCCATCTGGTGTTGGAAAAAAACAACAAACTCTGTAACTAATTAGTGATTGTGAGCGAAAGAGGAGATAAGATCGGACAACGGCTACAGCAGCAGAGCACACGTTTATTTTTGGCAAGGCTCGTCGAGTTACTTCCCTTAGAGAACACACTTAGCTTTACCTAGGAGATTAGTTAGCGTTCGCCAGCAGCGTCGAGCAGGGGAGGTAATATAACCGTGGATTCGTTAGTTTCAGCTTAAAGAAATCTTTCATAAGACGCTTGCCCCTCCGGAGTGCGAACCCCTCCCCCTCCCTCCCGCTGAGGTAAGTAAATATGCGTGTAAATAATGTTTGACACCTTAAGCTTCCTATTCAGTGAAAATTGATATTTATGTTTAGTGAGGTAAACAAACGAGAATTTTTTCCCCAGACCATTAGCGCCAAGGGGGGCAACTGAGTAAAAGCCTAATCAGGATGATGAATGTAGGAGTAGCCTCCCCTTGATATGCAGTAATTATTTGTGTGTGTTTGTATTAAAGGATAACTCTGGAGCATAAAATGTTTATTTAAATAAGATTATTTTCGTTTCGTTGTCTTTAATCCGTAATATTTACCAACTTGGTGACTATCTGTTAATGTTAACCAACTTGGTGACTATCTGTTAATGTTTACCATCCCACTGGGCCGTTTAATTGTTACCTTTCTATCAGCCTTGTCCACCAACTATAAGTTAAACTCACCCTACCTTTTAAACCGAAACCGACGCTGTTGTGACCTCCCCTTTTAAACCTACCTTGTTGTGACCTCCCCTTTTAAACCTACCCTATTGTGACCTCCCTTTTTAAACCTACCCTATTGTGACCTCCCCTTTTAAACCTACCCTATTGTGACCTCCCTTTTTAAACCTACACTATTGTGACCTCCCCTTTTAAACCTAACCTATTGTGACCTCCAATGTGATCTTCAATGTTGTAGCCTCCCCATTGTAATCTCCCCAAATGAAACCTTCCGTAATGTAACCTCCCTGTTGCGATCTCCCCTGTTGCGATCTCCCCTGTTGCGATCTCTCCTTTTAAACCGCCCCTATTGTAACCTCCCCTTTTTAAACCTCCCCTGTTGTAACCTCCCCTTTCAACTTACTTTTAAGCCTCCACTAGGTACCCCCTCCCCAAATGACCTCCCCTTTTAAACCTCCCCTATTGTAACCTCCCCTTTTTAAACCTCCCCCTGTTGTGACCTATCGTTTTAGTATTTTCTTGTTTTTCAACTTAGTCCATCAAATGTCTACTAAAAAATTATGAGTAAAATCTAATAGACTGCACATGTGGTGGATGTCGCTCTAGTGACTGGCAACACAAACATTCAAATCTAAAAGATTGGTGTGCACCAGAGCGTGAAGTTCAGTTCAACTAGAGCCAGGGTGTCAGGTTTTGTTGACATGGTTCTCTTGAAATAATGCATGGTTAGGCTGTGTGATACTTGCTCCAATAGTGCGGCTCAGGTTTTGTATAAACAAATACACATACAGATACACACCCACACCCACAAGTACACCCCCATATTCATATATATATATATATATATATATATATATATATATATATATATATATATATATATATATATATATATATATATATATATATATATATATATATAGGCAAAATGTAAGGTTCCCTTATGAATCAGTACGGTCCATGGACACGCTAACTAGTAGAGTTCTACCTTTTCTGTGTTCTCGTAAAATGAACACTGCCCAACCGCCTTACTTTCCGCAACGTGAGTCAGGTACCCATGAGAGTTGGGTGAACTCAAATACGGTCTACTGACTTGAACCCGGATCCGAACTCAAGACTTTCGGGTTAGCAGTCGTGTGCTCTACAATCAAATCACGCCGTCCATTTATCAATACATGTCATTAGCGTTAAAAAAAATTCTTCCTTTTGTAAAACATTTTTATTAAATAATCTTATGTAACAATTGTTAGATAAAATTGAAATATTTCTCCATTTATTCTATCCTATCATTAAGTCTGCAAACACTACACCAAACCTACTCACCATGATGTCGTGAGAATCCATTTTGTTTTGGAATAATTGGATGAAAGCTGAGGATGTGACTTTGGTCTAGAACTGACTGGACACTTGACCACGACATGTCGTCATCGTCTGCCGTGGTGTCCACGTCATTGTGTCCATCCAGCTCAGACAACATGGCCAACAGGAACCCGTAGCCTCGGGAGAACTGGGATAGCGTTAGGGATAGATAGGATTCGCCTGTTAGGATACCCTCGCTCATCTTTCTTATCTCAGCGTCGTGAAGTAGTAGAATCTGTGGAGTGGAAATGAATTAGATGGTAGTGATCCGATGTGGCTAGTGACGTCATGCGGCTAGTGACGTCTTGCGGTTAGTGACGTCTTGCGGTTCGTGACGTCTTGTGATTAGTGACTTCTTGCGGCTAGTGACGTCTTGTGGCTAGTGACGTCTTGCGGCTAGTGACGTCTTGCATCTAGTGATGTATTACAGGCAGTGACACGTTATGGACTAATGACGTCTTTCGGCTAGTTGTTATGCAGCCAATAATATTAACTTGTATTTTGCCATGATTAATGACCTTTGTTGGGAGCCGTAATAACCGGAGCCGATTGTTGGGATCCTAAATGAAGGGAGCCAATTTGTCGGGGACCGTAATGACACGGAAACCGTTTGTCAAGACCAAAATACGTAAACTTATTTGTCAGGAGTTGTAATGACTATGGCTGTTTTATTGGGAGCCTTATTGACCGAAGCCCATTTTTGGGAGACTACACGAAGGTCCATTTGTCCGCTGGTCCTTTAGACGGGGCCATCATTGCGTCGTAGGACTTAGACCATATCTTCTATATAAACAAAATCCTAGCAGTAACTAGGTGCGACGTTTAAAACTGCACGTAATTCTTTCAACATTTACCACATGACCAGTTTTAATTACGCCCCCCCCCCCCTCCACCCCCACGCACCCTTTTTTGTAACGTCTTTGTCTATAGCACTTTAATTGTCCTTTTTAAAGTCAACATTTTGATCAATGAATTAATTTATTGATCGCGTCGGAGAAAAGAAAGACAAATTAAAGTTAAATTTAGGTTATTGTAATGGCTGATTAATTCATAACAAAACATTCGAGGGCATAAGGACGGTCTACGTTAGAAGTAAGCCAAGAATCAAGGTTCGATAACTCTTTAAATTATGCGGTTGTCTCCCTTGGGGCTTGAAACCCTCGGCCATTTTTTTTCCAAGCTTTAATTGGTATCACTCGTGTTATTTACGTAAGGTTGTCGCATGATGATTTTACACTGGAGATATTTAGACTTTAAAGATTATGTCCCCTGTCTCACCTTGTCATACTCGATCCTCTGCTTGAGGAGATGAATAAATCGGCTCAAATGTTGGTCGCCTTGGGTCGAGTCTACGACATCGAATAAACTTTTGTTGCGGATGACTCGGTTTAGAACGTCCTCCCTGTTAATCTGTACAGAAATGGCACATGTATGAGGAACAAATGTACAAGAAAGTTTATTGCATGAGGAACAAATGTATAAGAAAGTTTAATTGCACGAGGAAACAAAAGTATAACGAGCTGGGAACCTAAGTTCAAGGTTATTATGAACCGACCAGAGACCAATTTGTTATATAAGTTTTATGATAAACTTATGATAAAAGTACTTGTTTAGAATTTGCTAATTTTGGAGCAAATCTAGCCCATTAAATCACTTGTATAAGAAATGTAGGACTATAGTACAGGTTAATCATGTACTAATTTGGAACAAGTTTAGTCTTCTAAATGAATTGGAACAAAAGTACAAACATGTTAAACAAAGACAAAGAAGAATGAAAACAAGTTGACCGGGTCATCTATGAGTATATGTTGATATGCAGATGTCAAAACTAATCCAGGTCTAAAGCCAGTATTTCTTTTGTTTCTATGTTCCCTAGTTTCGACGCATTGATCAAAGAACGGCCCGTTACTATATACATACCCACTACATTTGTTGAAAGGAGGGGAAAGGGGGGGGGGGGGGGAGTGATAGATGTGTTTTGTGTGAACTACCTGCATCATCCGGAAATGGCTGGAATCACTTGGAGCCTGGACACCGGCCACAGCCCCGGATGTAGCGTGTCTGGAGGCGAGGTTAAAGCCCTCGATCTTCTGTAGCACGCACCTGTACTGGATGATGACCTTCTCCAGCTCGACCTTGAGGGCGTCAAAGAGCGACATGAGCTTCCCACCTGAGCTCTCGATCAGCCCGTGTTTGCCCATGTTCCTCACACACCTGAAACAGGTGGAACACAAAAAGATTACTGGGGGTTAAGACTTTTGTAGGATCTGGCTGAAAATTACAATGACCTTCACGTTTCATATTGCTTGATAATTTGTATACCGTTTAAGTTTAATGTAAATTAAAAGGACTCAAGAAAACATTTCCTTAAAAAATTTCCCTTTTTCTAACACACATTCCCTATACTCCCTCCACGTCATACACACAGGACTAATACGTGAAAAAAAAACACATCAGCTGAGATACTCAATTAAAGTTTAAAGTGCGTAACAGTTACACTGATCGTTAAATGGTGACTGTTTAAGATACCTAACTAAGCAATACTTATAGATGTTTATTTGACAATGATAAAAAAGATGCTACAAAAAAAAAAAAAAAAGAAAATGACGGTAGTAAAATTTAATTTGTTTTTATGAAAGACGATCAATAAGTCAGTAAAATATGAAAAGTTAGTGGGTATCCAGTCTAAAGGCGATACAGAACTAAATGAGATGGCAGTGGTGAAAGGTCACCTGTCTATAGCTCGCTTCCTCTGCTGGATAGTTCTCCTCAGGTTCGGGTCTAGCCTGGCGATGATGGCTATGATAGTCCGGCACTGAGGGATGTGGCGTCTGATGTTCTCATGTCGGTCAGTGCTACAGTGTAGGGTGAACAGGGCGATAACTCGCTTGACCAGCTGGTCAGACATCAGCTGACCCGTGGGGAAATCACTCTTGTAGAAGCTGTAAGTCTGAGATAAAAATAGAATTCGGTGATTGTAGACTGTTTATTTTTAGTTGAAGGAAAAAGATCTTTGGTTTTGTGAGGTCGAGTGAAAGAAGGCACGACTACTTCTAGGATGTCTACTTCTGTTCTCATGTGTCAGAATTATGCCCCTGAGAGAGTCCATATATTATGGGCATATGGCTTTAATTAGGTGTGGTAAGGGCAGATTTGTAAAAACGTAATTCCATATAACATCATCCAACACAAACGTTACCTTCATCCAACATCATCCAACACTAACGTTTCTACCATACAACATCATCCTACACAAACATTACCACCATACATTAACATTCAACTTAAACGTTATCTCCATACAACATCTACCGACCTTTATGTAAAGTACCTCCATACAACATCCAACACAAAAGTTACCTCCATACAACATCTACCGACCTTTATGTAAAGTACCTCTATACAACACCTACCGACCTTTATGTAAAGTACCTCCATACAACATCTACCGACCTTTATGTAAAGTACCTCCATACAACACCTACCGACCTTTATGTAAAGTACCTCCATACAACATCTACCGACCTTTATGTAAAGTACCTCCATACAACACCTACCGACCTTTATGTAAAGTACCTCCATACAACATCTACCGACCTTTATGTAAAGTACCTCCATACAACATCTACCGACCTTTATGTAAAGTACCTCTATACAACACCTACCGACCTTTATGTAAAGTACCTCCATACAACATCTACCGACCTTTATGTAAAGTACCTCCATACAACACCTACCGACCTTTATGTAAAGTACCTCCATACAACATCTACCGACCTTTATGTAAAGTACCTCCATACAACATCTACCTACCTTTATGTAAAGTACATCCATACAACACCTACCGACCTTTATGTAAAGTACCTCCATACAACATCTACTGACCTTTATATAAAGTACCTCCATACAACATCTACCGACCTTTATGTAAAGTATCTCCATACAACACCAACTGACCTTTATATAAAGTATCTCCATACAACATCTACCGACCTTTATGTAAAGTACCTCCATACAACATCTACTAACCTTTATGTAAAGTACCTCCATACAACATCTACTAACCTTTATGTAAAGTACCTCCATACAACATCTACTAACCTTTATGTAAAGTACCTCCATACAACATCTACCGACCTTTATGTAAAGTACCTCCATACAACATCTACCTACCTTTATGTAAAGTACCTCCATACAACATCTACCGACCTTTATGTAAAGTATCTCCATACAACACCTACCGACATTTAAAGTACCTCTATACAACATCTACCGACCTTTATGTAAAGTATCTCCATACAACATCTACTGACCTTTATGTAAAGTACCTCCATACAACATCTACTAACCTTTATGTAAAGTACCTCCATACAACATCTACCGACCTTTATGTAAAGTACCTCCATACAACATCTACCTACCTTTATGTAAAGTACCTCCATACAACATCTACTAACCTTTATGTAAAGTACCTCCATACAACATCTACCGACCTTTATGTAAAGTACCTCCATACAACATCTACCGACCTTTATGTAAAGTATCTCCATACAACACCTACCGACATTTAAAGTACCTCTATACAACATCTACCGACCTTTATGTAAAGTATCTCCATACAACACCTACCGACATTTAAAGTACCTCTATACAACATCTACCGACCTTTATGTAAAGTATCTCCATACAACATCTACTGACCTTTATGTAAAGTACCTCCATACAACATCTACCGACCTTTATGTAAAGTACCTCCATACAACATCTACCGACCTTTATGTAAAGTACCTCCATACAACATCTACCAACCTTTATGTAAAGTACCTCCATACAACATCTACTAACCTTTATGTAAAGTACCTCCATACAACATCTACCGACCTTTATGTAAAGTACCTCCATACAACATCTACCGACCTTTATGTAAAGTATCTCCATACAACACCTACCGACATTTAAAGTACCTCTATACAACATCTACCGACCTTTATGTAAAGTATCTCCATACAACATCTACCGACCTTTATGTAAAGTACCTCCATACAACATCTACCAACCTTTATGTAAAGTACCTCCATACAACATCTACTAACCTTTATGTAAAGTACCTCCATACAACATCTACCGACCTTTATGTAAAGTACCTCCATACAACATCTACCGACCTTTATGTAAAGTACCTCCATACAACATCTACCAACCTTTATGTAAAGTACCTCCATACAACATCTACTAACCTTTATGTAAAGTACCTCCATACAACATCTACCGACCTTTATGTAAAGTACCTCCATACAACATCTACCGACCTTTATGTAAAGTATCTCCATACAACACCTACCGACATTTAAAGTACCTCTATACAACATCTACCGACCTTTATGTAAAGTATCTCCATACAACATCTACTGACCTTTATGTAAAGTACCTCCATACAACATCTACCAACCTTTATGTAAAGTACCTCCATACAACATCTACCGACCTTTATGTAAAGTACCTCCATACAACATCTACTGACCTTTATGTAAAGTACCTCCATACAACATCTACCGACCTTTATGTAAAGTACCTCCATACAACACCTACCGACATTTAAAGTACCTCCATACAACATCTACCGACCTTTATGTAAAGTATCTCCATACAACATCTACCGACCTTTATGTAAAGTACCTCCATACAACATCTACTAACCTTTAAAGTACCTCCATACAACATCTACTAACCTTTATGTAAAGTACCTCCATACAACATCTACTAACCTTTAAAGTACCTCCATACAACATCTACTAACCTTTATGTAAAGTACCTCCATACAACATCTACCGACCTTTATGTAAAGTACCTCCATACAACATCTACTAACCTTTATGTAAAGTACCTCCATACAACATCTACCGACCTTTATGTAAAGTACCTCCATACAACATCTACCGACCTTTAAAGTACCTCCATACAACATCTACCGACCTTTATAGTACCTCCATACAACACCTACTGACCTTTATGTAAAGTACCTCCATACAACATCTACTAACCTTTATGTAAAGTACCTCCATACAACATCTACTGACCTTTATGTAAAGTACCTCCATACAACATCTACCGACCTTTATGTAAAGTACCTCCAGGACCGGCAAACTAGCCGGAAGTTCGTCATGCATGCGCTGTACCGGAATGGCCGTCAAGATGGATGCCAATGTCAGCCCCCTCAGACGCTGGATCAGACCGGCACAGTCAACAAATCGCTTCCTGTCGAACAGACTCGCCAACTTCCTGATTGCGAACGGCGGGGTCAGATCTGCTGCCTCAAGGTTCAGCGATTCTTCGGAAAACGATTCGATCCAGTGACCAGTTCTCCAGACATTTTCACTTCCGCCCACCGGCATCTTGGCTGAAATTGGCATTGCCAGAAGTCTGTGGGCGTATGCACGTACTTCAGTGCAATGTATTGACAATGTTTACTAGGCTTGTGAACTGTATTTTAACTATTAGATCCAAATCTGTTTAAAAACTGCAAGTTCACTGGTGATAGTAATAAGCTCATATAAGACACTGTATTATAATATTATACAATAATGAATGTGTTTTTTAAATGGATATAAGCTATAAGATAATCTGTATTGATTAATGCATTCAAAAGCTGAAGTTATAAGAGCACAAATTGTAACCTCCGATGTAAACAGTAGCTGATTTTATAACTGACACAACAGCAATTGTAAAAAAAAAAAAGTAAAAATTCAAATTTAGGACTAGCGATTTTTTGAGAAGATGTAGTAGATTTTATGTGTCCCTATGTAGGACTGGTGTGGAATGCCCAGGCGCCTTTACTTTATCCAGTAGAAGTCTGGTACTCAGACGTCCTTCAGTCTCAAGTCTGAAACAAGATCCGAACTCTAGACTTCGGGCTCGCAGCCTAATGCTCTACCATTCGACTACGCCGTCTACAGCTTCTAATATCACTTGACTTGACTTCTGGTAATTGCTCACAACTATACTGTTGCCAGATGCTCTGGTTTGACGGGTTGTACAATTGACGTCACACAACTAGATAGAAAATATGACTACTTTAAATGATTTACATAAAATTGTGACGAAACTATCTTAGAGTAAATGGGAAAAAAATATTAATTTTCATTTGAATAAGCTCTATGTTGGGAGTGGGGAGGGGGTGTTTTGTGCGGTTATTTTAGGGGGGTGGGGAGGGTGGGTTGGCTTTTTGTGACGCCATGTCATGATTGAAGATGCGAGGTTTAAGGCGGTTAAAAATACATTAATGAGCGGTTCCTCTATCCAATGTGATGATACCAATATTATGATGTAGTCACGCACAAATCCGTAATGATTTACTCACACAATCTAAACACACTAGGAAAATCCCATGCAAGAAATCACACTTGTCACTACCTGTTTTAACTACTCCAGTTTTGAAAAACAAGATAAATGTACGTAACGCACCACCAACTAAACGTTACATCTAACGTAGATTTAGAAGTTTACACGTTTCCGTCCAAATAGACAACACATGGAGTCGTCTGCTGATATGTTCGCTCTACCGTCATGCTGCGCTGACTGTACATGAAATCGTGCAGTCACTGACAGAAACAAACATGGCTGAATGATCCGATTTGAGAAGCAGACGGCTAAAATGTGTTATTGATACAACATATTCCTGTCTTTCTTTTCATCAAGTGCAGCCGAGCGTGAAAACAGGGGGGGGGGGGGGCAACTTAGTATTGAACTAATTTAGGTCGCTGGAGTTTCACAGGGAAGTAACTCAAGATTTATTTTGTTTACACAGGATAACTTTAATTTAAAGCAATTAAAGAGGGAGGTAATATTTTTTTTAAAATCTAAATTTAGAGTTGTCGTACTTAAGTAGAAAAAAAATGTGTTTCTAATTTACTGTGCGGGTCCATCTGTTTAAAAAAAACATAAAATTTACATTAACAAAATAATATTCAAAATTGTTGAGAGTCTAAGATATCTGTGTCTGGTCAATAATTTTAAAATATATATTGTTCTCACAATGTTTCTAGTACTCATAAAAACCAAGTAGGAAAAACAATATTCATTTAGATCTAGTTCTGCGTTTACACCACGACATTGCGACGATAAGGGAATAAGGGAAATTGAGATGGGAATGGATATATATGTATGCAAATATAGGGATATATATATATATATATATATATATATATATATATATATATATATATATATATGCATTCTATATAGGGCCTATATACATATCTATATCTATATGTATGTAGATATATTTATGTGTGTATGTGTGTTATTTAAAAATGGGTATATATATATATATATATATATATATATATATATATATATATATATATATATATATATATATACACACACACATTTATATATATATATATATATATATATATATATATATATATATATATATATATATATATATATATATATATATATATATATATATATGTATAGGCTATGTAAATATGTCTGTGGTGGTTTGTGTGCACTCAAGTCATGTACGATATGTACACAATGAAGCCTAAGCCAACAGAAAATTCCACCGCACATCATTAAAGTCAGCATTGTTTGAATCGTGTTACAGGCCAACAGATAGGCGCCACCTTTATTTATATCTGCATGCACATGATACTCGCACATGGCCTTAGGCTCTAGGCTGTATGTTTATCAGCTGTAGATTCCATGCATGCCTGTTGAATTAGATAAAACCTGTTTCAGCGACATACCAGGATGCTTTACAACGTTGAATACTCGTGTGTTGTACGGACTAGTCTCTTTAGTATTTAATCTAAGCCTAAAGACATTTCTAGCATCTAATACAGATATAGATTTGTAAATGTGTTTCTCGTCCTATTACTAAAAATAAAAGACTCCTTAGTCTGAAAGGCGATTAGAATTAGATCATTGAGCCTGGTAATCAAGGAGCAAAGTCTGGGTTAATACGTCGAAAAGAGCCATGTTCACTTAGTCATCTTGTATTGGAGATCATTCTGCACCACAGTATGGGACAAATGTCCTTTGGGGTCGTCCATAAATGTCGTCACCCTCGAAGGGGGGAGGGGGGTCCGTAATTTTGTGACGGTGTGTGATGAGGGGGAGGGGGGTTCAGATGGTGCGACGTCACACTTTTGCATTATAAAAAAGCAATGTTAGAAAACGAATTTTAGACTTTATTTTGCGTTTTAGAAAACTGTTTTAATAAATTGTAATAACAATTGATTAAAAAACTCTATTTCGACAGAGTTCAGACAAGATTTTGGAAAAATATAGCTGTTTAAAAAAATTCAATTCAATTTTGAGGGGAGGGGGGAGGTAAAATGGTAAAAAAAAATTGTGACGTCATTTATGGATGACCCCTTATGTGCCTCATGCCCTACACTCCTGGTCAGATGTCCTTATGTGCCTCATGCCCTACACTCCTGGTCAGATGTCCTTATGTGCCTCATGCCCTACACTCCTGGTCAGATGTCCTTATGTGCCTCATGCCCTACACTCCTGGTCAGATGTCCTTATGTGCCTCATGCCCTACACTCCTGGTCAGATGTCCTTATGTGCCTCATGCCCTACACTCCTGGTCAGATGTCCTTATGTGCCTCATGCCCTACACTCCTGGTCAGATGTCCTTATGTACCTCATGCCCTACACTCCTGGTCAGATGTTCTTTTGTACCTCATGCTGTAGACTGTTCAAGTCCCCTAGCCGCATGCATCATCATGACACCACGTTCAGTGAATAATCTTCAAATTAAAATTCAGTCACATTTTCATACGATATCTGGTTTTTTAATGAACTAAAAAGTAAGGTAAATGAGTGCACTAAATGTGAGGCATTAGTTTCATGTGTGCGATTTTTTAATGTATCCGTTTGAAGGCTGGCCGGAAAACAAATGTAATCAGTGAAAAACACAAGTCAATGATCTAAATTACTCATTGTTGTTTGTTTACAGATAATTAAAGAATGCTTTTTAATTGGGAGGGGGGGGGGGGGTAAGGGGGTATTGTTGTGAGTTAAATGTAATCAGTGAAAAACACAAGTCAGTGATCAAAATTACTCATTGTTGTTTGATTACAGATAATTAAAGAATGCTTTTTAATGGGGGGGGGGTATTGTTGTGAGTTAAAATGTAAGCCTGTGGTGTTTAGTCTTCAAGTAGGGCCTATATAACCTGAGGGTAGAAGAAATATTTCGTTTGAAATATATCACTTAATGAGCCTTAGCAGTGAGAAAGACACGTACACTAATTTGTTATGGTTCTTATAAAAGTGTTGCATGATAATCTTTGGGAAAACTAGTTGCCACCAATCCACATTCTGACGATGCATTGGCGCTTTGTTTTCCCTTCAACATTCAAATTTCTTTCCGAGCCGACCCCCCCCCCCCCCCAATCTCTTTCTTTGCCTCGCAAGTAGCGAATAGATGTATCGGTTGTGGACTTCCGAACCGTGCATTCATCACTTATGTATGTATATTTCACTGAGGGGGGAAGGGGTCTTTTTTCTATTTCTGCAAAGTAATCTGGTTATGATAAGTAGGTAAGGAGGGCGGGGGGGGGGGGGTGGAGTTTTCTCGTTCTGAAAGAATAGCGCTCTGGTTTATCGTACGTGCAGGCTAACGAGGTTCCCGTACCGATAGGCCGACAGTTCGTGCTCTGCCATGGTTGGGGTTAGACGTTTGAGGTCAGCGTGGCTGAGTCTGTGTCTGCTACTGTGTCTGCTGTTGTGTCTGCCAGTGTTTTCACAAGATGTCGGGGATATGTCCGTTGAGTTTGATGCGAATGAGATCAGTGACGTCATCAACACGAGCTACTCATGTCACAGTAACCCAGCCATGGCAGTGGCAGTTGTCAAGGACGGTAAGGTAAGGTCAAGTTAGGAGCCTGGCGGTCTAACATTAAGATTAAGTTCAAGGACGGTAAGGTAAGGTCAAGTTAGGAGCCTGGCACTGGCGGGCTAATATCAAAGACTAAGTTCAAGGACGGAATGTTAAAGTTAGGAGCCTGGTACTGGTAGTCTAACATCAAGGATTTAGTTCAAGGACGGAAAGGTAAAGTTAGGAGCCTGGTACTGGTAGTCTAACATCAGCTTTAGTTCAAGGACGGTAAGGTAAGGAAAAGCTAGGAACCTGGCGTGGTAGCTTTAATGTCTAATTGATAGCCTTGGCCATGGGCGCAGAGGCGTAGCGACCCTTCCCGGCGCCCGGGGCGAACTTTCAATTTGGCGCCCCCCCCCCCCCGCTTATTTATATATATATATATATATATATATATATATATATATATATATATATATATATATATATATATATATATATATATATATATATATATATATATGTGTGTGTGTGTGTGTGTGTATAATTATGTGTGTGTGATAGTGTGTTTATATATAAGCTTGTGTGTGGGTAAGAGTGTATTTGTGTGTGTAAGCGTGTGTGTAAGCGTGTATGCTACAGTCCGGACAAGGTTTAATAATTACATTGTATGATTTTCATTCCTTAAAACTTTACGACAATCTAATTCCCATTAAGATGCGTTTAACTTTTTTTGCGAAAGATTAGTAATGTCAGTTAAAAAAAATAAGCCTGATCTGTGTTAGAGGGTAGTTTGTAGCTAACGCTAATATGTTTAGACCAACCTTTTATGTTCTAGTTTTGAACGATCTCTGTTGTGATATGGTACATAGTTGGATTCGAAGTTTGTTAGAGTAAGGACACACAAGTGACATACAAGAAGAAGTTATCAGAAATATTTATTGTTCACATTGGAATACGACATGGGTATTTCGTTGATTGGTTGATGGTATGACAAAACAAGCTAGAGAAAACAAACTGGAATCCAACGGATGTTAACAGCTCGTAGTCTTGGATTTCGCAGATTTTGCCCTGCCTTCTCGCACACAGTTTCTTCCAGGCATCTTTTTACGCCCCCCCCGAACGAAATGAAATTTATATAATTTATATATAGAAAATATATACTTTTAACAGTGTCCGCCCCCCCCCCGAAGAAAGTTTACCGCCTCCCCCCTCCCCCCGAAGATTTCAAGTGCCCCCCCCCCCCCCGGAGAAAAAAGTCTGGAAGAAACACTGATCAAAAGTATCTGATCTCTCACGTTGAAGTTGAGAGAATCGTAAGAATCTTACAAAGAACTAGTCGCGTCTTTTTTTTAACAAAAACTGGCTATTGAAATTGTACATTACGCGTTAATACACTTGGTTTCTTTACTAAGTGTTAAGAGAGTTATCTACTCACCAATCCAGTACAAATACTTACGATTTTTGTTAGCGAAAAAAGCGCCCCCCCCCCACCCCCACACACATTCATCACAACCATCTTGGACAAAGTTTGTAGAGCGGTTTTTAAAGTAACTAACTTTTTAAAAAAAAATGTTACACAATTATACAATGCACAGTACAATTCGTTTCTTTCTGAGAGCTAAAGGTTGTTTACTCAGAATCCTGTGTAATTTTGCTATTTTATTTAGCCTAAAAGCGCCCCCCTGCACCATCTTGATAAAAGTCACTAACGTATTTTACAGTTCAACAATCGTACAATACGTTTTAATACAATTGGTTTCTTTTAATAGTGGTAACGTTTATCGACTCAACAATCTAGTGTAAATTCTTCCGTTTTAAGTCTCGAAAAAGCGCCCCCCCCCCCCATCTAGGATAAGCTTCAAAGCGGTTTTGCCGGTCACTGTTTCTTAAGAGTATATGTTTTACATTAAGAAATCAAGATAGAAAACAGTTAAATCAGTATGTAAATGCGTGTAGCCATTACATTTCTTAACTTAGACAGTTTATAATTCAAAACTGCAGCATAAAATCAGCTTTAAAAAAATTTTCCCACCCCTTTTGGCGCCCCCCATAGGGTCGGCGCCCGGGGCGGCCGCCCCCCCCGCCCCCCCCCCTAGCTACGCCTCTGCATGGGCGGTGATAAAGCTGAAACACCGAAATAGTTCGCCAGACCCGCTAGAAACGAAAACCATTTACATGGTTTAGTTAGGCCTACTTAATTCTATTCTAGTAGTAAAATGAGTCTTCATAAAACATGATACACCTATTCATTACAATATTTTAAATGCGTTAAAAATTAGAAAATAATAGGCCTACTGTAACTTAAAATGTGTTAACGATGTTTCATGACCGACCAACTAATTACTACTAATTATAGTAACCTAATTACTCTAAAGATTTTTTTGTTGTAAGTGTATTGTAAAAAAAAATAGTAAGGCTAGTCGATATTTATATAAGTTTTTAATATAATTTTAGTCCCATTTTATTTAGTCTGTCCAATCTCAAGCTCGCAGACACCCCACACAACTTAAACTTTGTTCTAAAAATATAGGCTTGATCTGGGTAAGGGAAAATATAGCTTAATGACATGTCTGAAAACGTTCAAAAGATCGTGTTGTCGATACATGACAAGAAGCTTTTTGACCAAGTATTAACGCCCAAACTTATTGTAACATAAGGTCAGCTTCCCCCCCCCCCCCCCTTTTTTTCCCCCTTAAAATGATGCTATACTTCCCAAAATAGCGATTTTTCTTTCTTGAAACAGCTATTTACCCCTAACATTTGTCTCCCTTATATAGTAATATGAGCAATAAATAATAAAATAATGTTGCCACTTTTATTCTCAGCTAGGTATTTTTTAACGAAAAATAAAAACCAATATATGGTCTATATTGATCACAAATTACAAGTGAAATTCTTTACAACAAATTCTTCACCATTTATATGACTAATTACAGTGTCTTTATTACCATTAATTTGCTAAAAAAATATTTTTCTCAAAGTTGCTGTGAAAAGTAGGCTCAGTGGCGTAACGAGGTCGGGTGTCACCCGGTGCGGCACTTAATGGTGTCACCCGCCAGAGGCGTAGCGACCCTTTTCGAGGACAAACTTTCAAATTTTCGATTTGCAACCCCCCCTCAAACTTTCGATTTGCACCCCCCCCCTCAAATTTTTTTCTATATATTTTACTATTTTTTGCCTTGGTGTCACCCCAGAGGCGTAGCGACCCTTCCCGGGGACAAACTTTTCGATTTGCACCCCCCCTCAAGATTTCGATTTGCACCCCCCTCCCTCAAACTTTCGATTTGCACCCCCCTCAACCTTTCAATTTATTTTTCCAACCCATTTTGGCGCCCCCTAATATGTCCCCCCGCCCCCCCTCGCTACGCTACTGTGTCACCCCCAAAAATGGTGCGGTCCGCACCCCCCGCCACCCCCCCCCCCCCCCCCTCACTACGCCTCTGGCTAGGCTGATATCTGTTAGGTAACTAGGTTATCGATCAAAGTAGATTAGACCTGCAACTTTATTTGGAAGAAAAGAGGGTAGGGTGAAAGAGACCATAGCATCTTTTTCAGTGAGTAAAGTAAATTGCTCATTGATTAATAAAGTGAGAAAGAAATATTGTCACTTAGTAGCACATGACACTGTGCAAGAAATGATTTAGTCAGTCGTTTTGACGGTGGAGTTGTCAGTATGTGGAGAGGGAGGGGGATGGTCTGATCCCCCATAGACCCAAAAAAAAAATCCCGCGCGTGTTTATGTTAATGTGAATACATACATTTTTGTTTCTTTTTAATGATTATATAGAGGATGCTTAATTTTTTAAATTTTAAACTCACAATTAATAATCTTTGATACTATTGTTGTATTTAAAACACACATATACCATGAGAACTTTTTCAAGATTTATCAGGCCATGTTAAGAATAAAAAACAAGTTTTGCAGAGTTTTATATTTATCCAGAGGCGTAGCGACCCTTCCCGGCGCCCCCCATCGGGAATAACCTTTCAATTTGCAATTTGCACCCCCCCCCCCTCAAACTTTCAATATGCACCTCCCTCAAAATTTCAATTTGTTTTTCCAACCCATTTTGGCGCCCCTAAGGTCGGCGCCGTGGGACATATGTACCCCCCCCTCGCTACGCCTCACTATTTATCAAACTAAATCTCATCACCTAATAAGCTTTGTTGTATTTTTAAAGGTGCTGTTATCTAGAGGATATGGGACCTTTGGCCTTTCTTCAGAAAAACCTGTCACAGGGAAATCTGTATTTGGAATTGCCTCTTTGTCCAAGGCTTTCACTGCAGCCCTGTTCTATAAATTACTTCGTGAGAAAACCAAGTAGGCCATAAGAGAACTGTTTTATTCTTATTTTGTGCAATTAGGTTTGGATTGACTCCAAAAATAAGTAAATAAATAAAAAAAGGGAAAAAATACCTATAAAAGTAAAGTTGAAAGGAATGGGCTTACTACATTTTAAAATAAACTATTTTATCAAATATTTGTATCAGTTACTAAAGATTTTTAAAATAATAATAATAAAAAAAACATCAATTAAAAAAAAAATTATTTCTTAATTCACTTAACATTAACATTGAACGACTATTTTTCAATAATGATAACAAATTAATATAGTAATTAGGCCTTGTAGATCTGACTCTAAACTAAGTTAAATGAACATTGTTACTAAACTTGTTTGTAAATTGTGAGATAATTGTTGATAGTATTGCATATAATTTATGCCTAACTTTAGGTTCACCTGTAAGACTTGTTTATTTTTAGCATAACTTTAGCTTCACCTGTGAGACTGTTGTTGGGCAAAAAATTCATGATGCCGGATGAATTCCGCACAAAAGAGACAACTTTTGAGGATCTATTGTCTCACAAGACAGCTGTCCCTGACTACAACAGGCTTAGGTTCAACGACAACTTCACAAGACAAAATCTCCTGGAGTAAGTTCTTTCATGGTTACACAAGCTTAGATTGCTAGCAAACTCTACTGGAGTAAGTTATTTCCTTATATATAAGGGATTGTCCATAAATGACATCACACTTGTAGGGGGTGGGGGGTTCCGTAAATTTGTGACGGTGTGAGATGAGGGGGAGGGGGGGGGGGGTCAGATAGTGTGCCGTCACACTTTGGCATTATTAAACAGCAATGTTAGAAAATGATTTCTAGCCGTTATTTCACATTTTAGATAAATGTTTTAACAAATTGTAATAAAAATTGATTTAAATACACTATGTTGACAGAGTTCAGACAAGATTTTGAAAAAAATATCGGAGTTTTAATAAATATTCAACGTCAAATTTGAGGGAAGTTGTAGGTTGAGATGTGACATCAATTTAGGGGGGGGGGGGGGGGTGAGTCTGGCTTTTTGTGACTCCGTGTGACAGGGGGGAGTGGGGGAGGTAAGAATCGTCAAAAAAAGCGTGATGTCATTTATGGATGACCCCTAAGGTGTGAGTTTACTTTTTACATGTAGTATTCCGTAAGAATCCATAGTATACATTTATATATTATATATTATATATATATATATATATATATATATATATATATATATATATATATATATATATATATATATATATATATATATATATATATATATATATATAAATTTGTATCATTATGTCTTTCAGAAAGTTGCATCTATTACAAACTCGATATCAGTTCCGGGTGAAATACATCTACAGCAACCTCATGTACGGGCTAGTGACAAGAATAAGTGAGATTCTGGGGGGCAAGAAGTGGGAGGAGCTTATGAAGGAGAACCTGTTTCAGCCACTGGGGATGACCAGTACTACCTTTTCCACAGAGGCAGATTTTAATAGAGGAGACATTGTAGTGCCTTATGCTGAGATACATTCTAAATTGGTGCAAGTAAATCCCGAGTTCTCAAGGTAATTCAAGAAGTCTTAAGGTAATCCTTTAGGTCTTGAGGTAATTATTTAGGTCTTAAGGTAATCAATAACATCTTAAAGTAATTTATAAGATCTTACAGTTATCTTTGACCTTGAAATGATTCATTAGGTCTTAAGGTACTTTATAAGGTCTTAAGATAATTCATGATTCTTAATTCAAATTTTGAGTTCTCAAGGTAACTTAAGGAGGATTTTGCAGTTCTTTGTATCAACTGCTATAGATTTCATAAAGTCATATCATGTTAGTAATTCTTCTTTTTAGCCAGTGTGATGGTTTTCTATTGAATTCAAAAGTTGTATACATACATCATGTTATCCAACTATGATGATGGGTATACAAAGTTAGCATTTCAAATGGAATTGGTTAACTTTCATAGATAAGAATTTACAGCAGCCATTGAACTTCATGGGGACTGCATGGTGAAATGGTAGAGTTTACGACTGCTAACCCGAAAATCTCAAATTTGGATCCCAGGCTATAGTCTGGGCAGGGCGCTGAAAATAATGTCTCCTCATATGTAGAGGTAGTTGAAATAGATGAACTCTACTTCATCTGCCTGACTTAGCTATATATCAATTTCTGATTTTAATTTATTAAAGAGCCGAATGAATTTATTTTAGCAAAAAAATTGTAAAATCAAGGTTTATATCATCCGTTCTAAACTCAAATCAAATATTTTTGTTTATGATTACAGAAGGTGGGCAGATATGGCTGGGTCCGGTTCTATCATGAGCAGTGCTGATGACATGGCTAAGTGGATGAACTTTCACCTCAACGCAAGTCAAAACGGTACAGGTGACCAAGTCCTAAAGCCAGAACTCCTAGATGAATTACACGAGGGCAAGTTTTATGTTGGGGATGAAACATCTAGCGATTTAAAGTACCCACAATTCCCTGTGGCTACTTCTGACAGCGTTTATGGCCTAGGCTGGAGGATTGGATTTTTCAGAGGTAGGACTGATACTATTCATCCTTATGTAAAAAGACAGGGTGCTGAGTTAGAACTAGCGTGGACAGGGCACAGTAGATTACTAATACTAATGTTAACACACAAAACACTGGTAGATATAGGTCATAGTCCAAATACAGGAAATCCTGTTTTTTTTTAAAAAATATGACAAAGTAAAAGTTCTTCTTATGTAGACAGACAGTAAAAATACTACTTATGTAGATAGACAGTAAAAATACTACTTATGTAGACAGACAGTAAAAATACTACTTATGTAGACAGACAGTAAAAATACTTCCCTTGTAGAAAGACAGTAAAAATACTACTTATGTAGACAGACAGTAAAAATACTATTTATGTAGACAGTAAAAATACTACTTATGTAGACAGACAGTAAAAATACTACTTATGTAGACAGACAGTAAAAATACTACTTATGTAGACAGACAGTAAAAATACTACTTATGTAGACAGACAGTAAAAATACTACTTATGTAGACAGACAGTAAAAATACTTCCCATGTAGAAAGACAGTAAAAATACTACTTATGTAGACAGACAGTAAAAATACTATTTATGTAGACAGTAAAAATACTACTTATGTAGACAGACAGTAAAAATACTACTTATGTAGACAGACAGTAAAAATACTACTTATGTAGACAGACAGTAAAAATACTACTTATGTAGACAGACAGTAAAAATACTACTTATGTAGACAGAGTAAAAATACTACTCATGTAGACAGACAGTAAAAATACTACTTATGTAGACAGACAGTAAAAATACTACTTATGTAGACAGACAGTAAAAATACTACTTATGTAGACAGAGTAAAAATACTACTTATTTAGACAGACAGTAAAAATACTACTCATGTAGACAGACAGTAAAAATACTACTTATGTAGACAGACAGTAAAATACTACTTATTTAGACAGACAGTAAAAATACTACTTATGTAAACAGACAGTAAAAATACTACTAATGTAAACAGAGTAGCCTGCAGGAAAAGTAAAACATTTAAATAATAATGAATCCATGTTGTATGTAGCTATGTAGTTACCCTTTCACACCTGGCAGACCATGGGTCAGATGAAGCAGAGTTCAGCTGTTTCTGCAACCTTTACATATGAAGGGATAATGAGATTTTGGCCCAAATCTCACCAGTTTTGTTAACCATGCTGTATTTGGAGGAGGGTGGGGCGGGTATTACCACAAATCTTCAACCCTGTTGCCACACTCATGACTTGTTCTTCATTCTTTTGTTCTTATAAAACCTGTTTGTCATTTATTTATATTAAGGGATAGTGTGACCAGCACTATGACCAGCCACCTTAATGTGAGTCAGAGTTGGGTAAATTCTAGTACGTCCTATAGATTTAAGCCCAGGATCAGAGCTCACTACCTTTGAGTTAGCGGTTGTCCACTCTACCATCCGACCATGCTGTTCTATGAATATTGCATGCCATACTAGATTCTATAAATTCCTTAGAAAAAAAAACATATTTCAGGTTTTGAAAGAATCAGCCACACCGGGTCAACTTTGGGCTACAGAGCAATCATATCAATCATCCCTCGTCAAAAGATTGGGATCTTCATCGCCATGTCAGGCAGTGATGACAGCTTCAGGCACCGCATCCCCCTGCTGATGTACCTGACAGACAGAGCACTGGGTCTCAAACCGTTCCTCAATGCCTCAACGATTTGTTCATACCCTGAGCCGTGGAAACCTAAACCCAAACCAAAACCACCTGTTGTTTTCAATGCCAATGTGACACTTCTACATGACATTCAACAGTATGAGGTTAGTGGCATGACATTCAACAGTATGAGGTTAGTGGCATGACATTCAACAGTATGAGGTTAGTGGCATGACATTCAACAGTATGAGGTTAGTGGCATTGACATTCAACAGTATCAGGTTAGTCACACGACATTCAACAGTATGAGGTTAGTGGTATGACATTCAACAGTGTCAGGTTTGACACATGACATTCAACAGTATGAGGTTACTGGTATGACATTTAAATGTATGAGGTTAGTGACATAATATTCAACAGCATTAGGTTAGTGGCATGACATTCATCAGTACGAGGTTAGTGACATTCCTGCCTTTTTTAAAACCAGCTTTAAAATTAGTTTTATGCAAAATGGAAAAAATGAATTTTGGAAAAAGATTTCTAATTTTTTTTTTAAACAAAAGTTGGTTGTGAAAAAAAACATTGCCTGAAAAAAAAGACACTAACTGCTTAATGGCAGACCTTTCTTAAACTAAAGATTGCTGACTTAAGGGTTGGCAATATATTGTAATACTACTTCAATCTGTCATTGTTGATTTCAGGGATTGTACTACAACAAACTGTTTGGATATTTGAGCATCCATTACAACAAGACCCTAGGACTACTGGTCATGTCGTATGGATGGGGACAGTGGCATCTGTACCTCCAATCAGTGGAACAAAGGGAGAAGTTTTATGGCAGGGGAATAGGAATCAATGAGGCCTATGACATTAGTCCTGTCTATTTTAACACAAAAACCAAAGACGGCAATGTCTCCATCATTGGTATGGATGCCACGGCACTTGAATTCAGTATGCCACCAAAATTTACTAAAGTCACAAACGACAAGGTGAAAGTGAAAGAAAGTAATGCTCACCAAATGACCAAAGTCAACTTGTATGTACTTGCATGCCTGCTGATCTTGTTGGTTATATTATAAAACATCAGTTGTTTTACGTGGTTGCAAGTGTTATATAATTGCCTTACTTTACATAATTATAAATACAATTAATATTTAAAAAATAAAGCTAATGACAAGGATTTGAGTTTTGAAATTTATTTGAAACCATGAAAATGAACAAATTGGAACAGCTAAAGTATTATGATAATACAGGTTTACAAGTGATGAAAAAACAAAGTTTAAACAACTTAAAAACAACTACAATAAATTTTGAGTGTCTAAACACAGCTAGTAAGCTACTAGATGATGTCTAATGATCTTGATATTACTAGTACGATATTGCTAGTAATTTTATTTAACTCTCACGATCATGCATATACAGCTACAAGTCGTATTGTTTAGGAGTCTTGATTCTACGTGTCCGCGTAGACGCTACGGTGGGCAGTGCAGATTTGGGTGTGGTGGCGTAGGAAGAGGTTGTTGTTTTTGTATAACTCTTTGTGCTGTGTGTGTGGCTGGTGGAGGGCAATGGTGCAACGCTCTGTGAAGGTGTGACTTGTTTGGTCCCACTGTTTGACTCATCTGATGACCCCATCACCGCTGGCTCCACCTGTCTGACCGGGCTCGCAGGTAAGATAGAGGTGACCTGACCCAGGGTCTCTGTACAGGTAGATATGACGTGTTTGGGGGAGTCTACCTTAGTTTGTTGAACACTGGTGGGGGTGGTGCGGCACTGGAAAACAATCTGGGCAGTGCTGTGTTTGTTGGCTGGGTTGACCATTAAAGATGTTGGTTTAGTCATGGTTTTCCCTGCTACAGAATACGTAGCCTGCTCTGACGAGGAGGGTTTGGACACTGTTGATATAATGGTCCCAGATTCTGGAAGCTTTGACTGAGGTTTCAGTGCAATGTTCTGAATTTGAAAATTGATCAAGTCTTTTTGGTCAGAGTTTTTCTTCTCTTCCTTGAGGGTTGAGTCTTTGGCTGGTATGGGGTTGGGAGTGGGGGTGATGACGCTGGGGGAGGAGAGTTTGAGTGTGATCAGGCCGGTGGTGGATGATAAGTGCTGGGTGGCAAATCCAGATGACAGGATTAGTGGGGAGATGATGGAGGGGTTGCTGGGCTTGATGGCGTCCTTAGACACAGCTGTCTGGAACTTGTACTGGGTGCTGATTCCAGGGGAAGCAGATGTTTGTTTGACAGTTTTTACCTGTGAGGGGTTGAGTGAAGATAAGGTGGCTATTGTCTGCAGTTCAGATTGTGGGGTAGACATGAACAGGCTCTCTGATGAAAGGGGGACCTGTTTGGATATTAATGAAATTTTAGGTGTGGGGGTCATCTTGACATTGCTAGAGCTTGCTGCTGTGGTGATGTGGCCAAGATCTACGCTGACTGTGCTTGGTGTGGTGCTGGGTGGTGATTCTTTAGAGATGTAGTGATCTGTACCAATGTTGATGATTGAAGGAGTATTAGCCACTGATGCAAGGGTTGGGTTGGAGATACTGACCACTGGGCTGTTTAAGGAGATGGATGAGAGGTTAAAGGCCACGTTTGATGAAGCTGGTATTAAAGTAGAAACGGTCTGGACGTTAGAGAAGTTGCTTGTGGTAGAGCCTGACGTGCTGGATGTGGAGATGGGCTGAATGATGGGTGAGTTCAGGCCACTGATTTTCATGACAGGTCCGCCTTTCAGAACCTTGTTGGCCATGGTGAATGTCAGTGGGATGGTGAATGGAGAAGATGCTGAGCCAGTCCGGATGAGAATCTGCGGCTGTTTCATGGGTGGGTCAACTCGGTTGTCAGATTTTTCTGGCGAGACATCGCAGCTGGATTTAGAACCAGTCTCAGAATCATCCGACTGATTTTCTGATGGTTTTGTGATTGACCCAGTCCGGAACAATCCTGATGAAGCGAGAAATCTTGACAAGGTCAGCGCGGTTGTTGTTGGGATGGTAGCAGACGAGGAGACTGTGACAATAGCTTTACTGACAGTTGCAGGTGGCGGTGCAGTGCTGGTTTTTAACTGCTCACTGGGTTTGATACTCTGTAAGAGATTGGAAAGTTCTGGGGCAGAAGCAATGGCCGCTGCCTCGCTGACTCTTGAGAGGCTTTTGGCAGAGTCACCAGCTGAGGCCACCACTGGGAAACTCATGTGTAGCATGGGTTTAGGCTGGGACCCTGCACCAAGAGCTTCTCGTCTTTTCTTGGGAGTCACACGCTTTGCTGTAAACAAACAAGCAAGGGATTACACATTTAGAGGAAAAATATATTGCCAGGCTTGTCACATTATTAAAATATATTTTTAACTTATGGTAGCTAAACTGTTCTTAAGACCAGAAATAAATATATGTCTGACTTACCCAGTTTACCAGTAAGGGCCAACTGTCCATTGTAGCCTACAGTGTTGCCTTTACTTAATTTCATTGTCTTCATTGGTTTAACAGATGTCTGAAAATTTAATAACAAAGTGAAATCGCAAAACTATTTCCTCCAGTTTATAAAACTAAAAATAAAACATTTAGATTACAATAAACTTTTGAACTAAAACTCTACCATTGTGGATGATCCATTTTCACTTGTCTGTGAGCCAGCTGCTGTTGTGATTTCTTTCTGCTTGCGTTTCCTCTGCTTTTTGCCTAGTTCAACATCATCACTATTATCTGGCTGGAGAGTCACTTGGGATAAAACATTTCCCAAAAACTGGAACACCTCATCCTGGTTGACAGAGACAACAGAATAATGATTACCACTTCTATGTATAGTGGAAAATTGAAGACTATCACATGTCATAGACTTTAAGGACTAAAAATTCTTTTTATAAAAAAACAAAATAAAAACCCTTTTAAAAAGATAATTTTTTTTGCAACTATACAAGAAAAAGGTTTTCAAGTTTATTATCAAAACTATTTTTCCTGCATGATTAATTAATCAATTAAGCGTCAGCAAGACAAAGTGTAAACTCTCCAGGACTCACCAAGATACACCTGTCTACCATAGCTTGAGTGACGCCACAGCTGCGTTTCTTGGACTGACACATCCTCAGTTGGTCATCCGCCCCTCCCACCAGCACTAGACCTGTCTCCACTCGCAGTCTCTCACGGATGTCCTCGATGGTGTCCAGTTGGCTGGAGCTGGCGTTGTGACCAACAATAAACAGTGTCGGGGTTTTACAGTTGAAAATTTGGTCATCAATTTCCTGACAGAACAAAATAATTCACAGCATTATTGATGAGTACGTTTGTAGATTTTATTTCAAACCCTAAAAACTGACTTTATAAAGCTAAAAAAAGTAATGAAACATAATTACAAAATCATTTTTATGTAACTTACTCCACGATTCCCATTGACTCCCATGGTAGGGAAACCTAAACACACAATGCCACTCACTGTCTCCATTTGGGCCACCTGCAAAAAATTAATGTAACTTTTAAGGGTAATCATCATTATCGTTTCCTTTTCATGCCCAAGACACATGGGGCTGATGAAGTGGAGTTCATCTGTTTCAATGACCTCTCCCATGATTTCTTTTAGTTGTGTGTGGAAGTTAAATCCTCCTTGATTACTCTTTGGTATAGTACTGACCACACTATCCCTCATATTCCATGTTTAAGTTATTATTTTATTCTCCTGACCCATTCAGTCCACCAGTAGACTTATACAAATCTGAAAACCTTATTTTAAACCTCTAGCTTGAGTGCTAAGACATAAATTTCTTGTATATTCTATGACGGTAAAACAGTATTTAAAAAATTAAAAATTCTTACATGTGTAGCAACTAATGATCCAACATGCCAGCCAACCAAAACAATTGGTCGCCCTGGGAAATGACTTTTCATCTAAAAAAATATTTTAGTAAATATTAAATTAAATATAGTAAAGAAATAAATTTCAAATGCATCAAAATATCACGACACAAAAAGATTGGTATACATAATTTAGATAAAAGTATGCCAAACTGTTCAATTTATTAGAATATGTCTTGAAAAAAAAATCAGGTTGCCAACCTCTAATATTTTGGATCTAGTCGAAGTAATCATATTCTCCACACAGCTTGATACAGTCATGTTGGGAGTGATACTGTTGATAGGTACAACATTGATGACCTTCCCCATAGCAGACAGCTGGTGGTGCCAGAACTTGGTCCTCTTGAGAGCCACTGGGTTAGATGGTGACAATGGTGCACTTGGAATTACCAGCAGCAGAGGATTGTCTGGTAGTTTCTTCTGTAATGTAAATAATATAAGTTACAAGCTTTTGTAGGAGTTATAATGAATATAAAGAAATGGCAATGTACAAGCATTAAGATTGTATGACAGAAAATAATTCATTGACGAACACATTTTTATTTGAGTGTAAAAGCTAGTGATGACAAATAGAACATCAAGTGTAAAATCTGTTTGAGCAAGATTCTACACAATAACACAAAATGAACTGACCAGTTTTGGTTGATTGGTGGTAGATAACAGTGGATCCCATGTTCTTTTCATCAGTCCCCCGAGTGATTCTGCTGTAAAAACTCCTTGATTTGTGCCTTGTACCAGACGGTCAACGAGTGAGGGAATCTAATAAAATAATGGTCAAAGTTCATATATACAAAACCTCAAACATTTTATGTAAAAGTTTTCAATTGAGAAGTTTAATTGCTTACTTTTACTTTCAGGGTCTGTAAGACTTCAAGATATGATGTGAGTAATTGTCCTCGAAGATGTTCCAAAAAGATATTATGAAGCCACATAATGAGATTTAAGTCCTAAAAAATAGTTGCATTAAATTTAATTTAAAAAGCAATTAAAATACACATGCTTTTGTGAGTATTTGTAATTTTTACTTAATAAAGAACACAAATATGACATGTACTACTGATTGTCTTATAAATAGACAGATCATAAACATTAAGCTCAAAGCAGGCAACCAGCTGACATTATTTGTTACTATGATCCTGAACCAATCAAAACATTTAACCATGTATCTCACTTATTTCTCACACTTATGCTAGTTTTAACAAAGGAAAAGTTATTTCTAAGACTTAGGTTTGGACGATAATTAAACAAAAAGAACTTAAAAAGTGAAAGGACAAAAAAAACCTGAGTGCAAAAAGCTTTTAAAGGAAAAAAAATAACAAATAAAAAGCTAAAAAAATTACCCACCCAGCCAGTATTGGCAAATGCAAATCTTATTCTTTTAGCAGCTTTGTCAATTTGTAGCCTTCTCTGTACTGGCTCATTCTTCATCTACAAAAAAGTTCATTAAAGTTAAAACACTGGGGCACAATGGTTTCCTCTTTATCATTGCATGTAGTGTAGTCATATGAAAGGGTGGTCATGTGTTACTTTAATGTTGCCATGTTGATGTGAACCAATAAAAAAAAATACATTGGTTATATTCTAATCAGTTTACATAAATTTAAAATGGTGTTTAAACCTGATTTCTAACTGGAAAGGTTAGTCACATAGCATTAGCAATCAAGTCACTTAGCATCTATAACTTTTTTTAGTCAGTAAAGCATTTTAAAAATTTACCCCTTGAATAGACAATCGAGCAAGTCTGTCTGCTTGGAGTACTCTCATTCCTTTAGCAAATATTCTGTTCTGTAAAACTGACCATGAAGTTCTGCAATAAATGAACCAGAGAGTTTTATAACAGATACAATGTAGAACTGAAACACTGTGTACCAATAAAAAAAAAGACATTGGTTATATTCTTTTATATTCCTTTAGCAAATATTCTGTTCTGTAAAACTGACCATGAAGTTCTGCAATAAATGAACCAGAGAGTATTATAACAAACAGATACAATGTAGAACTGAAACACCGTAACATTCAAGAGTAACCAACCTGGCAGCTGCAATGTGATCTTCCCATTCATCCCCATCATCTGCGTGATCAGGACACAACAGATTTACTTGTCTCTCACAGTCTAACATCAGAGCTTTGGCTTTTGATACATCATACATGGCAGGTGCTACATCCTCATCCATAGCAACATCGATTTCATCTGTTGGTCTGGTTCAGCACAAAGTATGAATGCAAAAAAGTAAGTCCTAATTCATTTTATTTCTAGAGAAACAACAACAGTTTTGCATTAGCTGAGTTTTAACTGTATTTGTAAAGTCAAATATTGTAATCAAACTTTAGGCCTATAGCCTACTACTAATATATAACTAAATACACCAGCAATAATAAACAGGACCTAATTTTTATGAATCAGGGATATCAAATTCTAACAATACTTACTTTGTTTTGTCTTCATTTACTGGAAAAGTATGTTTGTCCATAAAAAGCATTTGCAAAGGCCGAGCATTGCTTGCATCTGGATGAGAGCTCCATGGCTTTGAATAGCAGTGGTCAATACTAACAACGTTTAATTCATTTAAAATCCTCTGAGAGAATGCCATATATCGGGGGATTGCATTGCTTTCTTCAACAGCACTAGACATCACGCCGATTCTTGCTTGGCAACTTTATTGGTATTATTTTAATATCAGGCCTCATCAACTGGAGTAGATGTTAAAAGTAAGATCATTTCAAAAATTTCATACAGAGAAACTGAGAGAAAGAAGGTATTTTATAGACTTTACATAGTGTCACTACAGGAGTATAAGCCAGTGAGTAGGATAATTGTAGTTTGGTAAACATTTGAATTTGTGTTTTCAATTGCTAAGGAGGATCAAGGAAGGAGTATTTTAAACGATTTTTACAGTGCAGAAATAGTCTGAAATACTGTAGAAATCTAGAATTAGTTCTAAAATTTTAATTGTTTGCCTCTTGCTTTAAAACAGTTTAACTTGAGCTTATTATTTAATATTTACATTTAATCTAGATCTACTTGTTGAGTCTCGACTCTTTGTTTTTTTTTACATAGAGATTCTTCTAGACATGGTAGTATGGTAGATCTAGATCTAGATCTATATAAATAGATCAGATATATGTTTGTGAGTTTGTCAAATGGGGGTATTGCTGATGGTATTTCGTACTAGTTACAAGAGAATCAAGATCTATTCTACATCTAGATCTAAATCTAGTCTAGTTAGAATCTAGATCTAGATTCTAGATCTAGCTAGATCCTACACTAGTTTACACAGGGAAATGTGTTGAATACCGGAAGTCAGATTGATTGACGATGTTTCTAGAAAAATAGTTTCGACTAATTATTTCGAAAAAAAATAATAATAAAAATTCATTTTGTATAAAAATAAAAAAAAAAGCTTTTATAGGCCTATGCACTCTGACTCAACGCTACGAATTCGGAAAAAAATTAGATCTAGAGTCTAGTTAAAATTATAGTTTTACTTTATTATTGGCATATGTCTAGTTACTTTTATAATATACAACATTTAATTAGTAATAATTAGGCCTATATATATATATATATATATATATATATATATATATATATATATATATATATATATATGTATGTAATAGTATGTATTTCTAAATTTCTTTTACCTTTGGATACCTTCTAATGTTGTATGTCTTGGTGTCATCCTCCAAAAGGACTAGGCTGCTATATATTTTGATATACATTAGATTAAAATTTTTGAACAGGTGTCAACCATTTCCCCCATGGTGTCTTTCTGTGATTGCCGATGTTATTTCAAACCAACTATGCATTTGACTAGATTAATAACCTTCTGTTTCTGTAAATTTTGCTTTTTGTACTTGATATCACCCTTAAATGTGCAGTCAGTCTGTCCCCATCTTGTGACATTATTGAATAGAATCTTATATTTTTCACCCACTTATCCTTATAGAAAACAAAATTCATGCAATTTTTAAAAATACATTTTTCTCAGATGAAAGTACTTTAATCTATAATTTTCAATTGAGTTAGTTATTAAAAGTCTATTACTATAGGGCCTATACAAAATCAAAAGTGGGAGGTAGCAGTGAGTATGAATGTTAATCCAGCTATTTTAAAAACACATTTTTATATTTGCAAGATTCTTTGTAATATTCGCCCATATTGAATTTGACTGATTTTATTTTTAAAATAAATTTCAATGGTAATATGCTTGTTAACTCTAGCTTTACTTATAAAAGACTATATATTTATATAAAGAAACTAAATATAAGTTCCACTTCTTTCACCAAAATGTGTTTACTAATGTTTTAGTAATGTGAACCACAATGATGTAGGGTAAACAGCTTGTAAAATTTAAAAAATTAAAATTTGTGATTGAACAAATTATGTTTACATTGTACATCTTTAATGCTTTTAAACATTCAATAAAATTTATCTAACAAGGCTTGTATTAGAGTAGATAAAATTAAACTACTTTTAATAATACTACATTTAAATTTAAAAAAAAAACTAGATTATGAAAATTCTGTAAAAACTCTATAAAGTTAATAAGATCTACAACAAAAATATGACATAAGGCTTTTATCACAACAAAATAATTCAATATAAAAAAATAAAACTTTTATTTGATTAGTCTTTCTGACAAAAGGTTGCGATACCATGTCAGATATAAACACACAAGTAATATTAAAATAGGCCCTTTGGATTTGAGCTAGTTTTGGAATGGAGCTTACATGTTAATTTTTAAATAATAGACTACCATATAGATAAGGTGTTGCCTAAGATTTTCAACTTCATTATTGTTTATGATGACTTAAAACAGGTAAAAACTACGTATGTTTACCTCAAAGTTGATAAAAAATTTAATTATCAACATCAATCGGTAGCCTAGAAAATCCTTTATTAAAAACACTTTTTTGTTAAATGGCTACATTTCTATAACTGTTATGAAAAGTTAACTTTTAAGGAGAGTTGTTGGGACTCAATTGACTGTACAGTACAAATGTGTCGCTTACTTGAGTTCTTCCCATTCAAATACATGGTAGCCTAAATGGGCAGGCTTAGTTTGCTTTTGTCTCAATAAAGTTATTATTTTCATGAAATTTTCTTTAGAGTCTAGCATTTAATTAAATATTTTGCAAGCAAAGTTTAAACAGTTCATACAAGTTTATATATAATGAGACAATATTTCTTTTTTTTATCTTCTGCTTCCTTATACTCATAGAAGAATATACTGCAGATTATAATGTAAACATTAAACTTACATTGTTATAATCTAATCCGTATTGTTTTAGAAGTTGCTTGATGAAACAAATTACAATATATAGTTTTAAAATGATAGCTCAACTTTATAAATAAACAAAAAGGTGGATTTGTCTTTTCTGGCAGTCATCATTACCAAGGCAGCAGCTTAAAAAATAGGTCAAGCAAGAATCTAATTTTAGATAATTGTTTAATTTTTAATTAGAATAAGAATACAAGTATTGGTATTAATTCAATAAAAAACAAAAGAATAATTTTTAAATTGTAATCACTTTTGTCATACATAAACAAATACAGTTCATATGAAAAAAGTTTTAATATTGAGTCTGGGATAATTTATTTTAGAGCAACTGTTTACATTGCTGATATACAATGTAACTGTTATAGAACAACTATAACAGTGACTGTAACATGCTGTTACACAAGGAGGGTTACAGCGCAAATGCTGCAGTAAAAGCAACCAGTGGTGATGCTGTAGGCACACCGGGGAATGGGCCACTGGATCCAGCAATGTCAACATGAGAATATGGCAGAGGGGTAGAAGAGTCCTTGCCATGCTGAAAAATAAAAATAAGATACTTAATTTTTTCCCATCTTTCTTCAAAATATGAAACAATTGAAAATGTATATCAAATAAAACTTATGAATTATATTTTAGTTAAATTGCTGTCTGATTATATAAAAAGAAAATAGTTAAGGGTTCTAAAATCACTGATTTTAAATTCTATTAAACGATGAAAACTGTTTTTAATATAATATAATGAAATATTTTAAAGTATTGATGTTTAAAAAAGTATTTATCATAACTATATTCACGCTACACAGACTACAGACCTTATCTAATCCAGAAGCCATGATTAAAAAGGCTGCAGGTGTCTGGTGCCCACGATTGGTCATGGTAGATGGCTGGTTATTTGACTGTAGTAGATCTTCATACTCTGATTTGCCTTTGTGGAAATCATAGTCCTAGCATTCATAGAGAATATAAATTAGAATTAGAATGTAATATAGTCCTAGCATTCACAGAGAATATAAATTAGAATTAGAATGTAATAAACATTTTTTAATTCTTTAAAATAAATATGATAAAGAACACAGAAATAATTTGTTTAACTGCTTACCTCACGCCTGATATTTGATATTTCAAAGGGGTCTCCATATGCCTCACCAATTGTCTGAATTCTTTGAGCATTACCAATATTTCTGGCTGGTCCATTATCCATGATAATCTACCCAAAAGAATAGTTTAAAGTAATTCACATAGGCATATATATATATGAAAACAAGTTTACAATTTGATAGTGCATGTTTCAATACTTTAAAATCTGTAACAAAAAAAATTTAATATTCTTGAAATTTGGAACAGCTAGACTGCTATTCCGTAAGTCAGTAGACCATTCCTGAGTCCACCCAGCTCTGATGTGTACTTAACTCACGTTAGAAAAAGTAAAGGCGGCTGGGTATAATGCTGACCACACTATCCCTTCATATGGCTTGGTTACAGAAACTATTTCACTCTACTTAACTTGCCCCATAGACCGGCAGGTTTGGAAGGGGAACTTCACTTTTTACTTTACTTACAGTGTAATCTGGTCCCATAGCCCTGATGGCATGTCCAGTCAATGTAGCCAGAGTAAAAAGTTGTGGGTTTACAGCTTGCAAGGCCTATAAACATAAAAAAGTGGGATAACTATATTACTAGATAACATGGGAAATCTGCCAGAACAAGGCCCTAGTAACATTTTGGTAGTAAATTTAAAAAATGTATTTTTGGTATTATTTAAATAAATCAGCTCTATTGTTTAGAAGATATTTAAACAATTGGCCTTACCCTCTCTTTCATTTGGCATAAAACATCAGCCATTACCATTCTCCCTTCAGCATCAGTGTTGCCAACTCTGACCCTCACTCCAGCACGTGAAGTTATGATTTCATCAGCGACATAGCTCTCTAAACATGGAAAGATATTTCATAGAATTCAAACTTGGTCAAGATATAATTTCTTTTGGGCTAAACAGGGACAAATTGTAATTTAAAAAATAACTTGAATAACATTTTCAACTTCAAAATAATTTTCAAAATTCTATCCCTGTCTATATAAACATTTGAATTTTAGCATCTATTGCAAGACTACTCCTACTTTAACTTTAAGAAAGGAGCAAGATAAACTTAATTTTAAAAGTAAGTTGATATTTATATACCTTTAATTGCTGCCTAACACTTTCCAAAGTATGATAGTCCACAACAATTTTTAAACTATTGATGCCCACAAATTATGTTTAATTTTCATAATTAAACAGGAAAGAATTTGTTAAAACTATTTTAAAAAACTGAAGTATATAAACACATAATAATAACATTCATTTAATTACCTACTCAGCAACTGTCAAAACAAATTTTATAAAGTATAAAAATTTATTCTAATGCTAAAATCAAACTTTCATAACAAAATGTAAGCAATGGATTTTTAGAGTTAAGGCTTAAATTCAGTGGATCAGAACATCTAAAAACTTCTCAGCAGAACATTCAAAGTTTTGACCACATGATTTGGAATTCCAATACTTAGATCTAAATCTTTTAAATTCATTTAAAACTTAGCTGTAAACATCTAGATTATAGGTATAAAATTTAAATAAAATAAGGTATTTAAATTGGCAGCATGTTATTACTAATGTTGCTCTTTTAAAAAAAATAAGCACCAACTTTTTAGTAAATAACAAACAGAGCAGCAGTGAAACTAATGTTGCTGATGTATAGCAGTCTAACATTAAAAAATCACCTTCTCCCACACTGTTCCTCACTACTGCCATAGCACCCACAACTCTGAGATTGGCTGGTTTTAGTATGGAGACAGTCTTTAAAATAAAATATTTTTCAAAAATTAACTTACATCTTGGACATGTCAATTTTCTATTTAAAAATAAATTAAATGCTTGCATCACCCTTGTTTTCCATTAAACTTCCTAAGCTAAATAATAAAACAAATAGTGCCAACATCAGTTACCTTGAGAATTCCAGCCACAGTAGCAGCTCCACACTTGTCTCTGTGCATGCCTGCCATTACACCCCCAGCCTTGATGTCAGCACCACCAGTGTCATAAGTGATGCCCTGATGCATTTTTAAATTTGGAAGGATTAGTTTTTTTTAAGCCAGTGGTTCAAATTGCAAATATTTGAACAATTTATCAAGTAGGCCTATTTATTCAAGTTGAAGATTTTTAATACATTTAAACAAAATCGTTTTTCAAATGTGGTCTTTTAAAATTTGCAATACAAAGTGCTAATGGGAACATAAATTTCAATAGTTGACAAAGAAATGAGAGCATGATTACCTTGCCAACAAGAAATAGAGTCTTTGTAATTTCACCACTTCCTTTGTATTCAAGAAAAATAACTCTTGCTCTGTGCCTCTCAACAGCTAAAAGAAATAATTAAAAAATTGAAATAATTAAAGACTGTTTTTTTTTTGTTTTTTAAATCTGTTCTTTAGAAAGTACCAATTACAAAATAATTTAACCATGCAGGTACTTCTACCAGTTAACAAAAAAAAATTACTTACTGTGTGCAGCCCTATTAACAGCAGCTAAAAGAGGATATTCCTTTTTCAATGTATCCACATCACTCACAACCTCTATCTGTGAGAATATTTTGTTTCAAAACTTGTCACAAAACAAATCATATATTTTTATAAAACACGTATAAGAATATGCATGGAACAACACATTTTTTAAAATGAAAACCAAATACTTACAGTCACATCACTGCCATTGAATGACTCCCTCACATATTCTTCAACCTTTGGTGCTGCCATTCTCTCAGGATCTGTTCCACCAATATCTCTTGCTACTAGTCTAAATAAATTATAAATGAGCACAGCTTTTCATTTAACATCGTGTTTGTACATTTATTTTATCTTTTTAAAACTCTTTAGCACTAGTCGGTACCTACTAGTTTTGAAAAAGCTGACTTAAAGTAATAATGATTCAGGCATTCATTAAAGACTGTAGTATTATTTTCAGTAAGAGTTCTTCTAATTAACAGTAAAAACACACCTTCCTTCTTCTAAAGCTTTACTAATGGCGATTGTTTTTGTGACCCGATCCAAGTTGTTGCACCAGACACCTAGGACTTCCACTCGCTGATTTACACCAGCCTCACGAAGCTCCAGAGGCTGAAAAATAATCAATACTCAATACACAGTGTTACAGTTAATGTCTGTCTCATAAAAACTTTATATGGTGGTAATATTTAACAATTATAAATTATTTTGGGTTAAAACGTAAGTTCAAGCCTGGTACAACACTTTATAAAAAAGTAGTGTTTAACAATTAGATAATGTATATGACAAAAATATATATAACACTTGTAGTACAGCACTTATGTTTACTACTACTTAAGAGATTAAATCAGGAGGAACATCTAACCACATATAAAGTTTGCAGGCTAGCTAGCAGCGTCACAAGTCCTGCGTGCTCAAAAGAATCATCCACTGGACGAACAAGTAAAGGCTTCTTGCAGCCTGCAGACAGTGCTCTGTGTTAAAAGTTCAGAGTTATGATGTTCGTAAGTACATTATAAAAAAACAAACACATACAAATCAAATTACATTTACTTTACTCTTGTGTAACAGATAATGGTAAAAGTGTGCTCTGGTGTACAAGCAGTTTATAAAAAAAAAAAGACTGGAGAAAGAAGATCACCTTTTAATGCCTGCTGAAGCTGCATCTGCAAATCTTCTAACATCATCTTGGTCACGATCAAGCGGTCCGGTGGCAGAAAATATCTAAACATAAAAATAGTTACATAAAATTACTTTAAAAAAAAATCTACTTCTAGACAACAATTCCAATAACCTTGACATATATATATATATATCCTTTTTTTTTAAATTTGCAAGGGTGGCGCCCGCGAGGGTGCGATTCTTATCTATACATGGTATATTAAAAAAAATGAAAGTCAGATGCGGTTCCACACCTTTCTTCTGAGTGCTATAAAACTTTAAGGAGTTGATGAGAATACTCCCGGGAAGATTTTTATTAACAAAATAAATAAAATTTGATATGAGTGGCGCCTGGGAGGGTGCGATTTTTATCAATACATAATTTCGCGCCAAGAGTTCCAAAGCGGCTATGTTAGCATTTGGCATCCGTTAATCATGCGTCCTGCATAGTGGGTAAGGGGTATTACTATATTCAGCATTAAAACTTCTACAGGTGCAACTGCTGGCGCCCAGTAAATTGCATGACCTGAAGCGCCCTGGGTTTCCCTGTGAGCACTATGGCGCGTCTGCGGTAGTGTAAATCGGGGGCTTAAAACAAGGTCACCCGTCTAAGAACATAGGATTTGTAATGCATACAAGAAACCCTTCTTAAATATCTCGCCAGAATTTCTTCGAGTACGCTAGTATGTATTATGCTAGAGTTATCTCTCATTATTGTCATCTATAGACCAACCAATCTCTTAAGCCATTCTAACTTAATTGAAATTAAACTGTCTTAAAGATGCAAAGAAAGCATTAGTATTAAAACTTTTCATTTAAAAAATCAAGGAATACCAGTCTTCCAGAAGGGACTGCATTTGTCTGGATCAATATAGGTTGCTTATCAAAACCTTTATCAATCTGAAAAACAGAAAAGAAACTTAAATAAATAATTTTTAATTCACGTAAGAGAAGCCAATAATTTGAACAATTAAGGACAAAATAGTGCTTTACATCATTTAAATTGGGTTTAGAATAAACTATGTAATCATAGGGCCCATTAAATATCTCACATAATTATTTTAAACATATATTAAACCATACCCATATATTTGTAATAATAGTATTTGCATGGGTATGGTTAATCAACAAAAATATCAACATACTTGTGAAAAGTCCTCCAATGGAGACTTGAGTGGCTCAAGTCCATCTTTTAACTTGGACAATTTGTCAGTGACAACAATGACAATATCAAACTTGGCATCTCGTACATCTGAAGTAGGTACAAGTTCTGGTATTCTAAAAAAAACACAACAATGCAATAGAGTTGAATAATAGAGATGCTTATTCAGCTGTTTCTTTCAGGTTTTATTTTTCAATTTTCAGTGCATTTAGTTTAAAAAGCCTATTATATAGAATTATAGGCTTAGGTAATTATAATAATAATATCTATATATATATATAATTCTCTTCTGGGAGACGTTAGAAAACAAGCTGTAAGCGCGCCAAGCAGTCCCCTCTTTTCCTCTCTAGGCATATCGCAACCACCCCCACTCCCACATGGTCTGGTGAGCTGTAGTTCACGCTAAATGTTTACATCGTAGAGCCGGGTTTAGTGACGGTTATTAGGGGCAGATAATTTAGTTTAAAACTATTTTATACTTAGGGGAAGTGACTAAGAGGTGGCTGCAGGGGTTGGGGGAAAGGAGGGTTTTAGTGTTTTAAAGCAAATATTTTCAGTGGCAGCATTGGTACTATCGAATTCACTAATTATTAATTACTGAAAAATAGAAAATAAAACAACTAAATAGCGGCGTATGATACGTCGCGGGTCAGCTCGTTATAATGGTTTTTAAAGGCATAAATAAATATACTTAATATACTACTAGGTACTTAATGACTTAACAAGTTAATAGTAATAACTAATAGTAGTAATAGTAATATTTAATATATAGATAGGCTGATAGGGCATAGGCCTACTGTAGCCTATAGCAGCGACTATAGCCTAATCATGGCCTAATGAAATGGCTAATGCCTAATCCTTAATAAATAGGCCTACTAAATATTAAATTAAATAAATTAAACAGGCCTACTAATAACTTAATACTTTTAAAATTATTGACTTAAAATTAGTAATAATAGATCTAGCAGCAGCATTCTAGCTAGATTCTAGTTCTAGTCTAGAATAGTCTACTAGATCTAGTAAGTAGGCCTAAGTACTAAGTTAGTAGTAAGTAGTAGTCTAGTAGTAGTACTTACACCATTTTTCTAGGTTTCTAAGCATGCAACTTTATTCAGTAGTTGCAATCATTTAGGAATTAACTTTAACACTCTCTTACAAACTGCCAAAAGCCGCTAGAATCTACTATTTATGTAAATCTGCAACTGAAGTTAAATTTTCTTGAAAATCAAAATGCTTACGTTTGATTTTTTAACGCTAGACAAAAATCACATGATATTGCCTATCACATGACATTCACTTCTATATTTAGGTAGTGAAAGTTAAACCCAGCGGTTCTAAAATTGTATGTTGCATTAATTACTAATGTAACTATTACGTAGGTAGAAGTAGAAGTCTAGATCTATAAATTACATAAATTAGGCATAGATTCTGTATAGAAATTACTATTTAAATTAGATGGGATATAGGGGGTCATCCATAAATGACATCACACTTGTAGGGGGAGGGGGGTCCGTAATTTTGTGACGGTGTGTGATGAGGGGGGGGGGGGGGGGGGTTAGATGGTGCGACGTCACACTTTTGCATTATAAAATAGCAATGTTAGAAAACGAATTTTAGACGTTATTTCGCGTTTTAGAAAACTGTTTTAATAAATTGTAAGAGAAATTGATTAAAATACTCTCTTTTGACAGTTCAGACAAGATTTTAGAAAAAATATCGATGTTTAAACAAAAATTCAACTGAACTGCAATTTTTTTTTGGGGGTGGGGGGAGGTTGTAGGCTGAGGTGTGATGTCACTTTTAGGGGGGGGGGGCTGGCTTTTTGTGACGAGGGGGAGGTAAAAATCGCCAAAAAAAGCGTGACCCCTAATCTGCCTCAACCTACTCTTCAACAGATTAATTTTTTTCTCACTGAACTTTAAGCCGAAAGCATGTCCTTTATTCATGATAGTTTCTTCGCTCATAGCTATATTTGTTTATAGCTGTTAGGTTTCGTACTGAAAGGTAAAAAAATATTCCACAGGCTAATTTGAAAAACTTACCTATGCCTTTCATTGCTGGAATAGGCCGGTTTATTTACGTTTTTAAATATATCTATTTAAATTTAATATCAACATAAATTTAAAAAATAATAATAATAAAATAGCTTGCCCCTTTTTTGTGCTGTTATACTTGATCATTTCATATGTAATATCTACCCTTTCATGTCTATTCACACATTTGGATTTCAATGAAGGCTCGATGCTTTCTGTAAAACATAACATGCTTATTTTATTGAATCTACATTGTTAAAACGATATTCTTACCAATATAATTGTAGCCCTCATTTCAATATATTAGAATACATATTTCTAAGAATTCTAAGTTAACAATGGAGGAAATAGTTTTTAAAGTATTTAGCATTAGTATTTTTTATTATTATTATTACTTTTTTTGGTTGTTCCTAGAGAACTTGACATTCAAGTCCTCCTTCTTCTTCTTCGTTCTTAATTTTAGTATTGGAAGAACAAACTACAAGGCAGCAGTTGTTTGATCTAGGTGTTCTCTCTCCAAAAAGAGAGGTTGTCCCCAGCTAACGAGCCTCATCTGCACGAGGTTTCGAAATAGGGACTTTTCGCTTTAGCAACTATGAGCTTTACCGACTCGACCACGCCGACCCCTTATTATTATTGTTTTTTTCCCCGTTTTTTTGTGTTCTTTTCTCTTCATTTTACAACTTTTTAATTATAGAATCATCACTTGTACAGACACACAGCAGACACTTCAGCGATACAGCAGCTGGTCTCAATCAGAGTTTCTTCCAGACATCTCTTTGGGGGGGGGGGGGGGGGGGGGGAGGGGGCAGCCCCCCCCCCCCCCCGAAAAAAGTCTACCCCCCCCGCACGAAATGGAATTTATATAGAAAATATATACTTTTAACAGTGTCTGCGTGTCTGCCCCCCCCCCCTCCCCCCGGAAATGCTAGTCCGCCCCCCACCACCGAAAAAATTCAAGTGCCCCCACCCCGGAGAAAAAAGTCTGGAAGAAACCCTGGTCTCAATCTATGGTTTGTTTACCTCTAGTGATTAATGACGGACTGGTTTCGGAGCAAGCGATATCAGCTGTATTGGTATAAATCAACTAAAGAAATAGAGATAGTGAAGGAGAGAAAGGTGGGAGGGGGAAGAGATGGAAGGGAAGATATCTTGAAAGCCATTTAGCCACTTAATATCAAAATAACGCCAGATGATTACCTCCATTGTTTGTGTTTATTATAACATTATGATGTGAGTAGAAGGGTGTCCGGTGTGGTATAGATTCCAGAGGCGTAGCGACCCTTCCCGGCGCCCAGGGACAAACTTTCAATTTGGCGCCTCGCCCTGGAGCAGCCTTTCAATTTTCAATTTGCACCCCCCCCCCCCTCAAAATTTCTATTTGCTCCCCCTCTCATATATTTTTTATATTTATAATGCAGCTAAAATGAGATTTTAATTTGTTTTTACAACCCACTTTGGCGCCCACTAATGTAGGCGCATGGGGACATATGTATCCCCCCCGCCACCCCACCTCGCTACGCCTCTGATAGATTCCAAGTATTGCTGGGAGCAATGTTAAAGAGGTGCGCAAGAAAGACGATATAGGAACCACTCATTTGTAAAACGGGTATTTTACCGATGTTTACAACAGAAATCGGATTTCTAAGAAATGTTTTTTTTTCAGCTCATTTGCATTTCATGTTGACTACCATGTAAACAGATACGATCGACTTGTTGCACGGGTTTAATGTGGACATGCCCGCAGCATTAATAGTGTACGTTGTCTCATATTAATACATACGAATTGAACCTGCAATGATATGGTTTTTACTTTCTAAACCAAATGAACGTTCATGTCTGCTTTTTTCGATAAGTCACACTCTATATGTATGAGAGTCTCCATTACAACGATATATATATATATATATATATATATATATATATATATATATATATATATATATATATATATATATATATATATATATATATATATATATATATATATATATATATATATATATATATAAACATAAACGACACAATGACTGTATCACAAAAGTAATGTATATTTAATATTATCAAAAGATGTTCTGCTTTTGTTTGAGACTTACCAGTTCCAGTAAAACACACAAAACAGGCAATGATGGTGACAATCTGAAAACGGAACTCCATTATCTTAGAGCTCGTTTTACGGTCGGTCGTATCAAGTGCAGTCTGCAAGTTGTGTGAGCCGCTGATTGTGGTCTCTGTCTGATTGGCTGAGTGTAAGACCATTTAACCAATAGCTATGTGGATTATACGAAAAACAATTACGGCTAATGAATGTAACTTGTATACATTTTACTATACTTATCAACATTCTATGGTTCTGACATCGGCAGACCTAAAGGACATTACAGATTGTAAACTATTGTAGGCTAGATAGGGCACATCTAGCTTGGAAAAGACTATGGGCCCGGCCTCTGAGAATATATCTCGGCCTCCTGAAATTGATAATTTTCAAGGATCAATGACGTAACGGTGTAACTATTCAGTTGGCACATTTTCTCTAATATATTGTACGAGCTGACCCGCGACGTAGCATGCGCCGCTATCTAGTTGTTTTATTTTCTGGTTATCAGCAATTAATAATTTGTGAATTCGACACTCTCCCTCCCTCCCCCCACCCTTCCGCCCAGTGAAAGCAGCTGTTTACAGACAGCAATGAAAAGATCAAGCAGAAATCTCCCCTTCGTTTCAAATTGTTTAATACTAAATTATCCGCCCCTAATAGCCGTCACTAATTCAACCCGGCTCCACGATTGTAAACATTCGTAGTGAACCAAAGCTCACAAGACTGGTGGGGGTGGGGGTGGTAGCGATATGCCCGGAGTGCGCGGAAGGAACGGCGTGCGTCTACATCTTGTCCCGCATGGTTCCTGTAACAACTCGTATATATACTCCTGTATGTTGGAGAATAATCAGTTGTTATTCACATCCACTTGTTGCACATGAACTCTTTACCACTCAACACTGTTGTTGTCCAAAATATTTTTAAAAAATCTGGCGCGCTTTAATCGTCCTTTGAAATTTACAAATTTCATACTGAATAGTTATTAAACGATTAGCATTGCGTAAACCAGTAAACCATAGAAAAGCATAATGTAACTTACTTTGCACTTAGCTACTGGGGCATAAATAAGATGCAATGGAGCCTTATGTAAACCAGTTAACCTGTGAACAAATACACCACACTGACCGTTATTCACAGCCACCTGTTACACATGAACTCTTTGCCCTTCAACATTGTTTTTGTCTATCTAGGTGGGATGGCAACTCGGGATATTGACATTATTGCTAATCCATTTTTAATTACTTAAATTTAAAAAAAAATAGAATAGAATCGGGTAGAAAAAAGAATTGCGCACCATGTGAACGCCAAACAAAATGTTTATAATAGTGCGGATTATTATTAGCATTTTATAAATTCAGATGCGTTTTTTGAGAAATCAGAAATAGCGTAAATTACTACTTCCGGTCAACGAAAATAACTCAAAATTAAACAGAAGGCAGAGAATTAGATCTTTTAATTCATTGTGAAATTTCATTTATCTATCTGAAATGGTACTCAAGGTGTAGGCTTTTGAAAAATTTAAAGTAGAATAAGTTCTACATGCGGTTAACGGAAATCGCTGGAAAGTTGATACAGAACTACTCATTTGATATAATACTTATATATGAAATTTCATCAACCTAGCTGTAACGGTACTCAAGTTATCGTGTTCACAGACACACACACACACACATACACACAGACATACGGACAAGATTGCAAAACTATGTTTTTTCGACTCAGGTGTAAAAACGTCAAGATTTGCAAAAATCTGTTGTTGTTTTTTTTGCACGATCACAATACTTTCTCAATACTTCGTGTACGAGAAATTAAAAAAAAGGAAAGTTCCATTTTAGAACCTGACGGTCAATGGGGAAAGGGAAGTAGATTTTACCTGTTGTTGTGACCTCGTGTGGTCAGAACTAAGCCCTGCCGCATTTATTTTTACTAATGTAAGTCAGGTACCCATTACAGCTGTGTGGACCCACTGTTTTGAACCTGAATTCGAACTCGAGACTTTCGGGTTTGCAGTTGTTTGCTCTACCATTCGATCACGCTGTATAAGGTGATTCCTAAAATTAGGTTAGGTTAGGTTAGGTTGGCCTGTCGCCCTTCCTGGGAAATAGGCCACTGACAAGAGCTTTCCAGGCGTCTCTGTCCTGGGCTAGTCTCTCCAACTGTCCCCAGGTGTATCCAATCTTCTTGGTGTCTTCTTCCAGTTCACGTCTCCAGGTCTTTCTTGGTCTGCCTCTCCTCCTCCTGCCTTGTGGATTCCATGTGAGGGCCTGTCTTGTTGTGCTGGGTACAGGCTTCCTGAGTGTGTGGCCAATCCATTTCCATTTTCTCTGGAGGATCTCTACTTCAACTGGCAGTTGATTTGTCCGTTGCCATAGAACATCATTTCCAATGGTTTTAGGCCAGCGAATGCACAAGATCTTTCTGATGCATGAGTTTATAAATGATTGTATTTTCTTCATATTTATAGCAGTTATTCACCACGTCTATGCTCCATAGAGTAAAACATGTTTTACTAGTGTGTTGAAGATCCGGATTTTTTTTCCAAGGGTTAAATCTCCAGAACCCCAAACATTTTTTAGTTGGTTGAAGACTGTTCTTGCCTTGCCCGTCCTTTTTTATGTCTGCTTCTGTCCCACCCTGCTTTTCAACAACACTTCCAAGGTAGGCGAATCTATCCACTTCTTCTAGGGCTTCTTCTGCCAATGTTATAGGGGTGCTGCTTGATGCATTGACTTGGAGAACTTTACCTTTCCCCCTATGGATATTCAGGCCCAGGCATGTAGAAAAATTTGCAACACTGTTGGTTTTTATCTTTCTAAAATTAAGACCACTGATATATTAATATGTAGGAGGCTATATCTAAGCTATTACATTTGTTATTAGGGACCTAAAGCAATATATATATATATATATATATATATATATATATATATATATATATATATATATATATATATATATATATATATATATATATATATACATTTATATATATATATATATATATATATATAAATGTATACACATTTTATATGTGTGTCTCTATCTATCAATCTCTCTCTCTTTGCATATATATATATATATATATATATATATATATATATATATATATATATATATGTAACTGGGGTAGGCCTAACTACCAGTTACAAATGATAACGAACGAGAAGCCGAGACACGGTGTTGGTCTGATGCAACCGATGACAGGTGGCTTATTGGGTCGGGCTGATAACAACCTCAAAGCCAAGGCGTGCTATTTTGGGAAACGGTATTCAGACGGCCTGTCAACTTTGATGGATAGGACGCAGATGTTATTTTACGGTCTGTACGTTTGAACTACGCAACTGGTGGTCGGAGATCGAGTACAAGTATCGATTACGGAGGAATACAAGTACGGGGACGAGTACGGATACAGGGCATAAATAGGAGGGCACGGCAGGACTCGCTATCTCTCTCTTCCGTCGTCGTCGCTTGCTTTAGATCAGTCAGTCTGGGTGACATACCCAAGTTGGTTATATCGTGTTAAGAAGGACAATAGACATGTGGATTCAGTTATATGAAGCCTAGTGAGGACTGTTAGGGGGTCAGTTGATTCAGACTATTATTGTGAAACATCTCTGTTGATTCATTGTGTTATATTGAAACATTTCTTGATTCATGTAATAAAAGGATCAATAGCGAACCTGCATCTTCGAGTCTTTCTACTGTAGTCGATGTTGTGTAGCATGAGTGGTTCAACTCGTTACAATTGGCGTTGTCGGGCAGGATAGACTCGGGAAAGGTCACATTGGGCGTTGCGAACAGGATAGATGCAACTAGCCTAGGTCACATTTGGCGTCGTCGAGCAGGATGAATTAAACTAGACTTGCCGATTTAGGCACCCATAGTCAACCTTGTGCATAACTGTGTTTTGTGTGTATGTGAATTCGGACATTCAGGAACTGTGAAAATCGAGGAAAATTTTTTCATATACACACGGTAAGAAAGAACTCTTTTGTTTTACTTACGGAATAAAATGTCTACTCTGGACGAGAAGCAGACCCATATAGTGGTCCTACCCAGAGAGTCCCACATTAACAAATTTTACGGGGACGGGGATCCCACTTTAACCAACAGGTTCAGTGAAGAGGTCAAAGCGGCCTGGGCCTCGAGAGGCATGTCACCAGAGGAAAGATTAAGACTGCTGATGGGCAGCATAGGAGAGACGGTTAGGGCAGAGGTCAAATGCCACGATAAAACCATCCAATCAGATCCAGATAAGGTGCTGGATCTGATTATGGAGACCTTTGGGGAGAGACGGTCTGGATCGCAACTGCTGGCAGGGTTCGTAGGCTTGAGGCAGAGATTGGCGGAGAGTGTGATGGAGTACTCACACCGGATGAACAGTGCCTTTGATTCGGTAAAGGTCAAAACACCGGACATTGATGTACGCCTACTGAGGGACCATTTCATTGAGGGGCTGGCAACCCCGAGCCTAAGAAGAGAGTTGAAAGAGGAGGTCCACAAAGAACCGCAGTTGACCTTCCTCCAGGTCAGGAACTCAGCGATCCGCAGGTCCGAGGATGAGGACCAATCGAACTGTTCGGTGTACAAAGTTTCTGTACCTGAACAGAGACAATCCCCACCCACAGGGGCCGACACGATGGAGACCATGATGGCTCAACTGTTGGCCCACATAGATAAGGTTGACCAACGTTTGGAGAGGTTAGAAAGCAGGTCAACAGCTGAGAATCGGGAAAAGAACGGTACAAAACAGGGACGGGTTGGACGGCCGCGTCCTGCCAAGCCATCACTCCAATGGACGGCAGACGGTCGACCAATTTGTTTGTCTTGTTCACAACCCGGACATATGGCACGGTACTGTCCGGTGAAACGATCGCCCTCTGTACGGCAGGTCAAGGCTACAGAGCGGCGAGGTAATGACTTGGTAAACAAAATGACAAAGAAACACAGTAAGGAGAAAAAGAAAGGTAAAACACAATCATCAGATAGTGGAAAAATGAACTGTGAAATGAACTTGAATGTTGAAAAGTTTCAAGTGAACAATTTGTTGGTAGAGAAAAATGATGAGAAGAAGAAAATTGGTAGACTTAATAAAGGAATTCAAAGTCTAACCAGGAAACTGGATAGGAAAAGTTCATGCAAATTAAAAGCACAGGAGAAATGTTCATCTTTAAAGTGTCTGTTATCGGAAGAAGTAAATAAAAATAGTAGACAAAAGAACAGTGTTGGCAAACTAGAAAAAGTATCAGATATTGAAAAAGAACTTCAAATTACAGCAAGGCTGGGATCCATCGAACAGCGATGGGCAGCAGAATTGGCACTCGTTGACCTAGAGAGAAAACATCGCCCGGGGCGGTCCAATGGCAATGCGGACGCCTTATCAAGGAATCCTTACGAGAGACCGGGTGATGAGGAAGAAACACTGACAGGAATATGTGAGGTCAGAGCGTCAACAGATATCCCTCATGGGGTACAAGTGATGCAAAACGGGCAGACCGGTGTGGAGCACATATCCACAGAGCCCGGACATATGGACAGTAGTGATTTTAATTTCCTTAATCACAAAAAGATAAGAGATGCCCAGAGAACGGACAGTGGCTTACAACCGCTATTGAAATACGTCCAGGAACAAAAATTCCCAGGAAGAAGGGAAAGAGAACAATTTGGTCGAGAAACAAAGAAAATACTGAGTCAGTGGGACCGTCTCAGTATAGAGGATGGTGTTCTCATGCGGAGAATTCATGACCAAATTGATGGCACAATACACCAGGTGGTGGTGCCGGGACAATTACGAGAAGAAGTGCTAAGGTTGGCACATGACAGGGCAGGACACCAGGGTCAGGACAGAACCCACAAAATATTACGACGGAGGTGTTACTGGCCCAATATGGAAATGGAGGTCAAACGCCATTGTGAGGCTTGTGTGAGGTGTCAGCATGCGAAAATGCCAGTTGTCAAAATGAGACAGCCATCAGGACACCTACTAGCGACAAAACCACTAGAGATTGTGGCTATGGATTTTACGTCGTTGGAGCAATCATCGGATGGGACGGAACATGTGTTGGTAATGACTGATGTATTCACCAAATGGACGGTGGCGGTGCCCACGCGAGATCAGACTGCCAAAACAGTGGCAAAGGTCTTAATAG